CAAAGGTAAGAATGATTTAATTTTTTACATATACATTCAAGCATTACCTCCTCATCTATCATTTCTATAATCTCAACATGTCGAGGAAGCAGATTCTGCATAAGTTCTAAACTCCATTTCTCCAATGCTTCAGGTAGAACAGTATGGTTTGTATATGCAACCGTTCTAGCACACAGATGGCAGGATGTGAGGGAAAAGAAGTTGCTACCATAGAACATGTACTAAGAATAGGTATCCTTAATGAACAATTAACATTATACATGGGGCAAACAACTCCTTGACAAATATGACGAACATATGAACAATTTCCTTCTTCTTTTTTATGGGATAAAGATGGAAAGGTTATTGGACGAACAAAAGCATAAAAAGAAACCAAATTCCAGACTACCTTAAGTGCATGGAAACCCAAAGTCAATTGAAGAGGGCTACATGTGAAAAGATATTCATGCGTATGCATGTATGTATGATACCACAACTACTTAACTCCCCAATAACATTCAGGAAAAGAAAAGGAAAAAGATGCTCTCCCCCAATATCATGTTCCAACTATTCTCACAGTAAAATTTAAGTTGTCTCTGAATTCCCCCTTTGTTCATACACTACAAATTGTCCTACATAATCAACCAATAAATGCCCAAAAAAGGAGTTACCTTTGAGTAATATTCCAGGCCTCCTTCCAGCTCAAACCCTTCAAATCAATCAAAATTCTCATCAGTTCAGGAATGCAGAGAGTTGGATGAGTATCATTCATCTGCACTGCAACCTTCTCGGGGAACTCCTCCCATTTGATATTTGGTCCAGATCTTCTCTCAAAACGTTCAACAATATCTTGGAGAGAAGCAGAACATAAAGTATATTGTTGCTTCAAACGAAGCGTCTTGCCCTCCACTGATTCATCCCCAGGATAAAGTACATAGCAAATCTGTTAACCATTAAATAAAATGCTACTTACCAATTCAATTATATGTGGGCACAATAACAAACATAACAAAAACAGCATTTGAAAGCAGGCAATTACTGGTCACTAAAAATATCCCTAATAGGTAGAGAGTACCACATGGAACAAATATATATTAAAGATCGCTTCTTTTAAAGAACGCAGTTAGCGTCCTCCTCACCGAGGAATTAGTAAAAGAAAAAGAAGACAAAACAGATAAAACCTGAAATCTGTATTTGCTGATTAAATCGACAAAGTGCAGGGGTGGTGAAAGCCAGATTCATTTCAAGAAACATGTATGAAATCATGAGCACACAGACAAGCCTGTTTGGTGCAGTGAAAAGGGAAACTGGAAAAGGAAATAAAAAAGGAAAAGAAAAGGAAAAGAAAAGGAGCCCCATATAATGTACAAACCTTTTCAGCATTTGCTAAAGCTTCAGATGCTTTAGTGTGCTCTCCAGAATTAAAAGCATGTAAATCAAAATCCTGTGATGAAGCTTTCGTTGACCAAAGCCGCAAGTTGATCGTGGTTTTAGTTTTATATCCTGGTATTGGAACATCATAAGCAACAGCATCTATGTCTTCTCCTCCAATCCAATGTCGTTTTCCATCAGATCCAGAAACAACCTTGCCATAAAATTTAACAGGATAGGAGACATCATTTCTCACAATTTCCCAGGGATTCCCCAGCTGCAAGAGTCAGCAACTAATAAGACATGATTTTTCCAAAAACCTATACAGACAATGAAGCAATTAGAACAGAAAGATGAAAACAGAAAGCTTGCATACCTCAAGCCAATCCTCAGCAACTTCTTCTTGACCATCTTTAGTAATTCGCTGTTTAAATAAGCCATACTTGTATCTAAGTCCATAACCCCATGCTGGATAATTTAAAGTTGCCAAAGAGTCCAAGAAGCAAGAGGCAAGGCGTCCAAGACCTCCATTTCCAAGTGCAGCATCTGGTTCCTGTAATCAATCATCTATATAAATTGGTTGCACCAACACACAAACACAAAGCTTACTGCTTTACAAAGCGCATCTAAAGTTGTCAGGAAAAAAGACCATTCTCTTACATGGCAAGAGGAAAAAAAGAAGAAAAATATCCTCCCATGAAACTTCCAAATCTGTCTAAATGGTATTCACAATGACGTAGATTTTATTACTGACTTCTTCTAGACAGTTGTTCATGCTAGTCTTGTTCAAGAAAAGTTTTCATTTTTTAGGCATCTTGTCCATATATTCTCATTCTGATAGTTACAGAGCCTCTTGCTAAAGCTCCAGCATTCCCTTTTTTCTCATTAGAATTACAATTTATATGAGGTAAGAGATGTACACAATTACTAATTATGCAAAACTAACATGAATGTCCATAACCAAATTTTAAAAGGTAAAAACTAGCTGGAAGCTCACCTGGCAAGCAACATTTTCTAATTTGTGTCCAAGCTTGCTTAAAGCCTCTGCATATGCACCATCTAGCTCTAAATTACCAATTGCATTTAGCAGCGCTCTACCCTACAAAACAGGACATCATGAACTGAAGCATCTGCAAGCTACATAGGTCACAGAAATGTACATCCACGTTCGCGGGAGCCAATATAGGAGATTCATGACAAACCTGTAGAAATTCCATTGACAAATAATATGCCTGCTTTGCATTCAACTTTTCATAATAAGCATATGTTGCATTCCAGTTAATGATGAGTGCATCACGAACACTTTGTGCAGTTGCAAAGAAGGCCTTTGGAAGCTCAAATCTCTCTGGAGAAAACGATGGGGTGAACTCTGCATGGTATTTGATACTTGAAGCGATGGATGCAGCATCGGGTATGAATGAGCTGAGTATGGAGGAATCTTCAAAGTAAAAAGTAAAAAGTAAGAAGTTACAAAATTAAGTACAATATAATATTTTCGGAATTACTACATCAAAACATAAGAAAGTAAGGAGCAAATCTCTCTCTATATATGTCTCAGATATAGAGAATTTGAAAGGGATTATCCTATACTAGTCCAGCGTGCCCCTATGTTTCCAACAACCAATCACATATTTACCATGTCAGCATCAAAAAAGGATCCGAACCCATCAGCTAATGCGTGCCATGTATCAATTCAAGATAGCAGAAAAGCCAGCTTAACCAGATGATTTTCAGGTTTTCAGCTATCTACTTGGCAAACCCCATTTCCAAAAACTCCTAAACGGTAGAGTTTGATCGGAACTGGATAGTGGATTGTCATCAGATAAATTGCATGGATTTTCTTCATACATTTTCATGTATATTGATCCATCAGATTGGTGGGTTCCAATCCTTTTCTGAAACTAACAAGGTAAAATGTGATCGAGGAGCTCATAAAGTTAAAGCATGCGTTTTTATGTATATTAAAGAACAGGGTGTGTAAGGAAACAAGAAGATGAGAACCTTGTTCGACGATCGGATCCTTCAGCTTCTGGGAAGGCTCACTCGACGCGTTCTTCACCGAAAATGAAAACGACCTCCTCTGGTTCAAGTTCCTCCTCGTGAACAAAAGCTTTGATTTGTTCTTTCTGGAACTGAAATCGATCAATTTAGATTGAGATTTGCATTGCCAAACTGTCTCTGCTCCACCCCGAGTTGCAGCAAATTGGGAAGCTGCCATTGCTCTAATACTCTGTCTCTCTGTCTCTCTCTCTCTCTCCCCCTCTCTCACAGTATGATACTGAGTCTCTGAGTCACTGAGTCAGTGACACTCGTTCGTTTGTGAAGGTGATGCGGATACTGAGAGAGATAGTATCTGCCTTCTTATCTCTTTTCACGAGCCCACTGTCACTACAATCAAAAAGTCCATTTTCAAATAAATAGATCCAAGCATGGGCCCCACCCGGTTTCTATTTGATTGTTACATGCACTTTCCACTTCTAATTTCTTACGATAATTGAGATGATTTGAATTAATAAATACTCTGCTTTAAACACCAATTTTTATTTTGCTTACCACATCCACACGCCATGCCCTCATTTGTTGATTACGATGAATCAACCGTTGACTATTGGGAGCCAGCCGAGTGCAACAACATTTGCATGGTTTCATGTTGTAGTGGACCTCTCCCTATTATCAATTTTCATTTTTTTTTGTTTTTGTGAATTTTTTATTGAGATGAACAATAATATACTAAATTCACACACACTACATGAATGTTAGGATTCTCATCTAGTAAGTATGAAGTTATATGGCGATCTTTTCGGATCACACAGTATAAATTTTTTACAGGCTATCAATTTGAGCTATTTTTTTGGCCGTCAATTTGAGCTAATTTTGGGTCCGTCAATTTGAGTATAAATATTGTATTAGGTGTACAATTGCGCGGGTCCATAGCTTTGGTTTTTTCGATTTGGACCGTCTACTTGTGAGCATGTCATTTGATGAATTGAAAAATAAAGAGGCAATCAATGAGGCGTGGACAAGGTGGTGCCGACGATGAGTCACGAGAGACGAGCACCGTCGGTTTGGTGCTGGCGCAGATTTTGGAGAAGCTGCCGTCCAAACAAAACTTCTGCTGAGCTGATTTTAATAATCACTCTGAGGACTCCTGCAGATTTTTGACTTTCTTGAGATTCATAATGGGTTTGCTCAAAGCCTCATCAAAAGCCCATGCAAGTTTCGTTCAATTTGGACCTTTGTTTGGTCCCGGCGTAGCAATGTATAGGGCCCAAAATATGTATACAAATTGGGCCTTTGTGGCAGCTGAAATGGTTGCTTGCTTGCTTGCCCGCCTGCGCCCACTTCAAAAACCGTTGAACACACAAAGACCAAAGTCATCATTAATTCACTCATAAACCAAACAAAACGAACAGAAAAAGGCATGTGATCCTCCACCATCACTGTCAGATAAAGTCACAGGCTATAACATTGGATCATCCAAATGCCTACCTTTTATTTTCAATTTTTTTTTCGAGTCTTGCTACTTGACTGCCTCAATGTCAATTAGTATCAAATTCAACCCCAAAACCCAAACCCTTACAATTTGTCCTTCTCAACCTCGAGCATAAACCCATCATTTCCCTTCAAAGCTTTACCTTGTAGGCTTCCCAATGGCCTCTCACCACCACCATCCCCACCCCCACCACCCCCACCACCCCCACCACCACCACCAAACCCCACCTCCCACCACCATTTGCTGCACCAGCTCCTACAATAGTTGCTGTTGCACCCAATCCCACCACCCCTGCTCCCCTCAACCGCCACCACTAGTCACAGACCCACTTCTCCAAGCCATTGCTTCTCATCTCATCCAATCCAACCCACCAGATCCCTACTCTTGCCATCCCAAACTCCGCCACCAAAACCCTCAACCCACCCACAAATTCCTACACCCAAAGCCTCGTTTGCACCAACAAGAACAGCAAGAAGAACAGCAGCTGCACGCCCACTCAATTATCTCCTCCCTCCTCTCCCGCATCGAAGCCCTCGAAGCCTCTCTTCACCGCTATTCTTCCTATCGTTCTCAATCTTCGTATTCGCGCTCTCTCAGAGACTCAGCTGCTCGAGTTATTCAAACCCACTTCCGTGCCTTCCTTGTTCGCAGATCACGAACCCTCAGGCAGCTCAAAGACCTCGCCTTTATCAAGTCTGCTTTCAACTCTCTCAAATCCTCCATTTCCAATGATACCCACTTCGATTTTCACGCCGTTTCTCAAAAAGCCATCGACTTGCTTCTTAAGCTCGACTCTATTCAGGTAAACCATTCATGGGTATTTGTTCATTTTTATTTATTTATAATCAAGTTACTCTTCTGTTTCGATTTGCTTAGAGATTTTGTTTGGGCACCTTGTCTGCAGTGTGGTGATCCGATTGTTAGGGACGGAAAAAGGTCTATTAGCAGAGATTTGGTTCGGTTCTTGGAGTTCATTGATGGGGTTGTCATGAAAAGGCATGGGCTTTCACTGAAAGCAGTGAAGAATGCGAGGTTTGGTCAAAATGTTAACAAATCTAGGGTTTTGCCCACCAAGTGTGATGATGTGGGAAGGGATCAGAGGGAAATGATTGGTAAATTGAGGGAGAGAATTGAGAAGATTCGTGGGTTTGCTAGAGTTTCTGAGAATGATGAGGAAGATGTGGAGCTTGAAGGGTTTCAACATGTCAGTGATGAAGATGAAGAAAACCTTATGACTCGATTTAAAAATGGGGTATTGGTGAAAAGGCATGGGCTTCAACCTAAGGTGAAGAAAAATGTGAGCTTTGCAGAGAATGGGAATGTGTATAGGGTCTTTAGCAACTCTGATGAACCAGTTTCAAGTGGAGATGGGAGTGATTCTAGTGATGATCATGGAGAGCTTGTGGAGAACCTTCGCAGTGAGGTTGAAGATGTTAAGGGCTTTGCTCAGGAGACTGAGGATGATGATGAGGCACACACCGAGAATGATGGATCACCGCAGGCCAGTGATGGAGAAAGAAACCCCAGAGCCAGAATGACTCAGAGAAGAGAAGACATCTATGAAACCAAAGTCCATGACCTGAGCCAGAATGGTTATTTGCTATTCTCTGCTCCTTTGCCCGTGAAGATGGAGTCTAAAGCAGATATCATAAAGAGAAACAAGGCTGTGAAACTAGTAAAATGAAGGCTGTAACCTGAGTTTATGTTTTAGGTTCTCCAAATTTTTTGTGGCTATGGGGGTGGATATTAGGTCTTCGCAATTGTATTTTCCACGAATGTTTCTGATTAGGTTAGATTGAGTAGAAGATCACCATGAAATTGATGTGTAGTGTTTGTCCGACCCTTCCTGTCTACTGCTGAGAGAGGGGGTCCCATATCTATTCTGCCGATGTAACCTTACCCCTGAAGATTCTATGTTTTTTGGATGATGACTTTAACCAAGTTTCTTTTGCAATGTTGACTATGAATAGGGCTTACATATAGCTAGGTTTTTCCTCCATTCCTTCTTACCATTAGTTATGTTTATATGAGGAATTATTGGCAATGTGGCCTGGTAACGTGTTTTCATGCCAAAACTTTTCATTTCGTTGCCAGAGGAGGTTGTCGCTCGTGGAAGGGTTTTCGGAGTACGAGGAAATTAAAGATAAGGGTGGCATCAAAATTCCAGTACCACAAATCTCTTAATGATAATTTCATCAGTTATCACTCAACTAATGGTATGCAGATGCCAAAAAATGCAAAGACACCATAATGAAACTTTCATACAAATAGAGAACCAATGCAGACTAACGAAACTTGTTTCAAGGGGATAAAATGGACTACGGAACTTATTGCTTATATTTTCTTTTAACATGAATTGTAAACAACCAAAAAAAAAAAGAAAGAAAAAAAAAAAAAAAAAAAACAAACCTCATCTCCCATCTTCCACGGACTTCTTGTGTTGGAAAACATTTGATTTTAATTCTCCTACAAAAGAGAGGTACTGAAGTTTGACACAGAGGAATGACTATCTCAACAAAAGTAACTTGCCATTGCTGCATATTCACCTGAATCCTTCAAACACAAACAATTACTATCATGTCCAGGGCACTTGCAGTAGAGCATAAGTAACTCAGCTTGATGACTGTTCTGGCATGTATTTGGTGAAGTTGTTTTCTGTAGAAGAGTCTCCTTGTTTCATGTTTCTGGTGGTCGAGAGGAACTCAGTACCTGACTAGCAATTGTGGCATCATCACCTCGATAGCTTGTCCCGGCCCTAGTTGCTAGTTTTGGGGCATTGATTTCATGGCATTTCTTTTTGCACCAACAATTTTAACTCTAGCTTCTCTTAGGGCGCTCAATGCCACCTTAAAAATTTGGTCAGATGCCATCCCTTCCTCTGCACATTTAATGGCTTCCTGGTAGAGAATGTTGTATTGCAAGTTCCTGCCTTTCTGAGAATTGGCCTGTAATTCGACACAGGGAAGTAAATCCAACATAACCTCTTCCTTGGCATTTCTTGTCCATCTTTTTAAGATATAACACTGTGGGAGTGTAAAGACATTAGTTGCTTTAAACACTGCAAGCACGTGTCTGCAAAGGATCCCTTCAAATTCAAACATCTTGCAACTACAACTAGCTAGTTGTTCTGCTATATTAAAAGCCACGAAATACGTTTTATGTTCTTCATCAAATCTGGATACCTCATAAGTGCTGGTTCCTCCATCCTCTGCACTTAATTTCACAGCAAACAAAAGAGATTCAAAAACCTCATCCTGAAATATGGTGAACATATTTCTTGTGTAGATATCTGCTCCTTGCTTTTCCACAGGAAGTGGTGTTTTTAGAACTGGTTTAGTATAAAATGTTTCAAACTCTGCCCTTGCTTCTTTCTCATATCTTTCATCTAAAGCCTTCTCATATTGCTCCGCAAAATCTTGTAAGGTAGTTCCCGAATTCACATAGCCATCAAAAAGTGAGTTCACACTTCCACTCCGCTGGGCAGCATACATCCCTGCAAAGAATGTATCTCTCATGTATACTGGGACCCACAATTTGCGATCAATATAAAGTGATTGAAGCCAATTATTCCCTCTAAGATTGTTCTTATCAAGGAGCATCTGCCAAGTTGATTCAAATGCATCAGGCGTCTCACTCTTGTTAATGCATCTATCAAATTCAACTTGAAAAGTCCTTGGGGTTACACTATATACATGTCCCAATTCCTTCGGCATCTTGCTTATGATATGCCACTTGCAATATCGATGACTTGATTGAGGAAAAACTTGTTGCACTGCTCTACTTATGGCAGGATCATAATCAGTTATGATTAAACCTGGTTGTCGTCCAGACATTGCCTCAAGCCAAGTTGTGAAGAGCCAACTGAAGGTGGATTCGGTCTCATCTGCAAGCAATGCACAGCCAAAGAGAACTGAATGTTTGTGATGATTTACTCCAGTAAAAGTTGCAAATGGCATTTTGTACTGATTCACTTGATAAGTAGTATCAAAGGCTACAACATCAGAGAAACAGTTGTAAGCGATTCTTGATCTTGTGTCAACCCAAAAGACACTACTCAGCCTCTCTTCTTCATCAACCTGTATTGCATAATAAAATGCAGGATCACTGGCTTGCATAATCTTAAAAAACCCAAGCAAACTTTGGGCATCAATGCCAAAAGTGCTCAACCGGCCTCTTCCAATATAATTGACATTACTCTGTACAGCAAACTCCATTTTGCCAAAACTGCTACAATCAGTCAAGACATCCACGGGAGCATCCAAAGACAGTCCAGGAGAACTGAAGGAGTTGCTACAACTTTTTTCAGGAGCAAAGTCTTGCTTATGTGACCTAAGAAAATGCCGCATCGCAGGAGTCACCAACTCATGATTATGGTTCTTCTCTAGTTTTGCCACATACCATCTTCCACAGTCACGTCTCCTCACAGTCATCAGCGCCTTGCAACCTTCCCTAGTGAGTGCCCTAGCACGCCTCCTTTTTGCATCCTCGCCTGAATCTTTCTTTGCATGTCTCTCCCGGCGAAAGCCTTCTTTTGAACAACAAAACTCTCGAGATATAATCGAATTGTCCTTTTTTGAACGATAGTATGAGTTCACACGAATACTAAATCCCGTTTGTTTAGCATATGCATTATAAAAATTCCTAGCATCATCTTCAGAAGTAAACTCCATACCCAGTGTAGGCTCTACAACCCCACCTCCTATATACTGCGACAAGTCAAAATCCACATAAACCTCTTTGCCATCATCCAATACCACCGGAGCTTCAACCTCCTCTGCAACAGAATGTTCATAGCCCCCCATCTCCCAGTGCCACAAAGGAGTCTACTCCTTTAGCTTCACACTCACTGGAAGGCACTACCTCCATGATATATTGCTCAATCCCCTCTTGCATTACAAATTAGGGTACCCTTCATTTCTGAAAGGCTTACAACTCAAACAAATGGGTGCCCTTCAACTCTGTTGTTTCTCTCACTACAGGCTGTATAGAAATCAAAAGAGACAAGCACAGAAATTCCAATTACTTTCGAATAATTCAAATGGAGGAACTTAACAGTTAGCACGCTCAAAGTTTCAATCTAAGCATACAAAAGATGAAGAATTTGTGAATTGGGGACCAAAAACGAAACTTTGTCACAAAATTTGACAGTTATCTAAAAACTCACATCACTAACTAGTAACTCCCCTCAGAAAACTTATGCATGTGCTAATAACCGCAGAGTCACTATTCTTGCAGGGGACAAACGGCAGAGAAATGCAAATTTGACAAATACAGCTTTTTGAGATTACCTTCAAATTTTGGTGTTGCAGAGAGTGTGAGAGCGAGAAGAGTGTGTGAGAGTTTTCAAGGGACGAAAACGCGCGCCGCCGCGGACCTGAGGGAAATGGGAGGACTAGAATTACGCTCTGCTTTCTCTTACCGAATATTAACACTGTACTAGCCGTCGGATTGGTTAAGTTGTGTGCCTGTATCTCGAGATCGGATGGCTGATACATTTCGTTTATAGGCTGAAACTATGATATGGAATCCCTTACTGGGTCCTCTAACCGTCACCTCTTTTTTTATTTCGTCAGCTAAAAAAGAAAAAAATGAAGCCTGAAATTATTGGGTTTACGGTGAAGCCCATTGGGGCATGCTTTGGCCCAAAATGTTCGTGGGTCCTGCCTACTCTATTAGATACTGTTTAGGGAGGCCGTAATGAGGGTTAGTTATAGTAATTCAATTAATTGCAGAGTTATTATTGGATGGTCGGATTCAATCCTCAACATGTCCACTCAGCACAGCGGCCTCACTATAGAAGCTCCCGAGAGGTGTCTCCCAGCATTTTTCTTCCGGGTCGGCTCAGTTATAAGATTAGTTTTTCTTTTGATTTTGTTTTCTTAATGTGTCGACTATCAGAATGTCACCCTGTGTTGGTTTCGAAATAATGTGCATGTCTGAAATGTCCCACAAAATAAACTATTGAACATCTTGGAATAAAATAAGCCACAACAACATACCATCTCCAACGATTTCTAGTTCTGCATAATCATTGATGTTATGAAATTTAAGCTTTACGAATCCGTACCAAAAGAGGTGGTCACAAAATTCTTCTTTATTATAAAAAATGCAAACAAATATTCATCAACTGAACTCAATTTCCATAACTAATTACACCTCAATAACTCCGGTCTTCAAACTCAAAGGCTTAACATACAAAGTTTAAACCCCCAGGTCTTCAATGAGCTACAGCGTTACAAAGTTCCCTGAAATCGTGCATCGACATAAGTGAAAAGGCCGCGAACCTGCACAAATCACAGAATTGCAGCAACAGTATGTCACAACGACTAGAAATATCAAAAGTACAAAATTACTTTATATACAGATCAACAAGATGTTAGCAGCAACGCCATCAGAGGTTACAAGCCTCAGATTGGGTTGGTCATGTGCAATGCAAAACTGTGGTCGGTAGTAAGAAAAAGTTATGGACACGACCACAAGTACTAAAAGGTAAATGAAGCAATGAGAGTTGAAAGTTGAAAGTTGAGTTTCGAAGTAATAATGTTGGATTGTCTTTACACTTGTAACAATTCACAGAATGTTTTCATGACCAATGAATAGAACTTGCCTTTGCAAAAGCAAATGCTTTTTGTACAGTTTGCTCAAGTCAAATGGTGGAATTTGCTCTGATATCAAAATATCATGGCTTACGAGTAGAACTTGCTTTAACAAAACCGGCTTGGCAGGATCTTTTTAGAGAGTAAAGTACCGAATATCTTAGAACATAACTCATCTTAACAAAACTGGCTCATAAAAGAGATTGAAGATGTAACTGTCTTTAAAAAACTCGCTTGGCAGGATCTTTTGAGAGAGTAAAGTACTGACCATCTTAGAACTTAACTTGTCTTTACAAACCGTATTTTCAATTTAAAAGTCTCATTCTGCACAAGAGGGGCATAAGCAAGGATCGATCTGGAGTGTAAGGGTATTTTTAGAGAGTAAATGTACTGAACACTTAGAACTTATTTTCACACACCTCACTGGCAGAGAATAATGCATAAGAGCATTTGGGAGAGGACATCTTTCTTAACATTCACACTTATCAAACACTGGGGTGCAAAATCACAAGAAGGTGAAGAACAAAAACAAATAAGGCTCAAATCGGATACAGTCAGATAGTTCCAGTTAAATCAAGAGCTAACCCCCATTTCAAAACCAATACTGTTCGCTAGTAATTTTATAATTATATCTATCCGTGCATTAAGCTCGAAGAAGATCACTACCTATAATGAATAAATAAAAGTAGCTCTACAGTCTTATGCGGGGTGGGATTGTAAAGATATATAACCTCGCCACAAAAGAAAGTGAGCACTGAGAGATAGGTTAAGCTAAATAAGCACTATATCTAGTAAGGCATTTTCCCCATAAGGGAAAAACTAACACTTAGGATTAGTAAGATATACAGAGAAACAAAACAATCAGTGACCCAAATCAAAATATGCTAAGTTGGCATTACAAAGTAAAGGCCTTTTATGAATCCCAACAATTCCTAGGGCCAAAGCTATACTACATGAGACCAAAAATTTCTATTTTCATTTCTTTGCGCACACCACAAGTACTCAGAAACCAGACAAAGCATCATTCAACAAAAAAAAAAAAAAAAAAAAAAAAAAAAAAAAAAAACCTAAAAATCAGACACAACCAAAAAACACCCAATAAAACCCAGACCCTAAAGACTAACAAAACCCCAAAAAAAACAAGGATAAATGCTCATAGTTAGTGTAGTAGATAGGGTACGGTACCTGGAGACGAACCAATTCTAGTGCTTGATTTACTTCTGAACCTCCATGACGCTCTTGAGCTTTGGAGCGTAGAGAGAGTAAACAACAGCCTGCCGATTGGCAACCTCGAACTGAGCCTTGCCATCTGAAAACGCAGCGGAAATGGCAGATGGGTCCGTGAGGTTCCGATTCTGACGAAACGCGTCGATGGTTCTGCGTTTCGTGTACTCTCTGATGTTGTAGTCTGTGAATTTACGAGCCACGCGAAGAAAAGAGCGGAAAAGCGTGAGCACCTCCGCTCGAGAAGGAGCTCCAGCCGCTATACTCATATCGAAAATGGCGCCTCCTCTAAGCTTCTCTAGAAAACCAGAAAGAGCGAGAGATAGTTCAACTCTGAACGAAGGTTTGAGGCTTTCGTTAATAGAGAAGCTTCCCAATATTGGTGGGATAAAACGCAGCGTTTCATAGCTGCGACCTTTTTTGTTCCACTATATTGACTAGTTGACGAACCATGACCGTTGGATGAATAATAATCACAAAGCGACCGTTAATACTCTCAAATGAAAAATTAGCGCCAATTGACTGATGAATGGCCCAAGACAAGCTTTTGCCAAAGCCAAGCACGTCCTCAGTACCAGCCCAGCCACTCGATCCCTCACCAGAACGAAACAATTCCATGCCCACACCATCACATCAGGCCTTCTCTCACAGCAAGTCCACGCAAACCTTGCAAGGTTGTATGCTTTATGTAGTCACGTTCCATATGCACGCAAACTGTTCGATGAATTGCCCGACCGGAGCTCATTTTTATACAATACGGTGATAAGAATGTATGTATGCAATGGCTTACCCTATGAGGCACTTAACGTGTTTTCTCAGATGCTGGCCCTAGGGCAGAGCTGCCCGGATACATTTACGTATCCTGTTGTTATTAAGGCATGTAGTGACTTGTCTTTGGTTGATGTTGGTGTTGTCATTCATGGAAAAACAGTGGTTTGTGGGTTTCATTTGGATGTGTTTGTTCAGAACACTTTTCTGGCGATGTATATGAGTTGTGGGCAGAAGGAATCGGCAAAAAGGGTTTTTGATGCAATGCAGGAACGAAGTGTTGTGTCTTGGAATACCATGATCAGTGGCTACTTTCGAAATGGGTGTGCCAAGGAAGCTTTGAATGTTTTTGATTGGATGATGAATGTGGGTGTGGAGCCGGATTGTGCCACTGTGGTTTCTGTGTTGCCAGCTATTGGTTACTTGAAGGCAATGGTGTTGGGAAGACGAGTTCATGCCTTTGTGGAAGAGAAGGGTTTGGGGAAGATGATTACGCTGTGGAATGCATTGGTGGATATGTATGTAAAGTGTGGTAGCATGAGTGAGGCACGATCAGTTTTTGATAACATGGCTGAGAGAGACGTCGTGACATGGACAACTATGATCAATGGGTACATTTTGAATGGTGATGCAAGAGGTGCACTGGGGCTTTGTTGGTTGATGCAGTGTGCGGGTGTAAAACCCAATTCCGTAACAATAGCTTCTCTTCTTTCGGCCTGTGGGAGTTTGCATCTGTCAAAGCATGGACGGTGCTTGCACGGCTGGGCTATTAGGCAAAAGCTTGAATCTGATGTTATAGTGGAGACTGCTTTAATTGACATGTATTCAAAAAGCAATTGTGTTGACCACAGCTTTCAAGTGTTTGCACACACTTCAAAAAAGAGAACGGTTCCCTGGAATGCAATGATCTCTGGCTGCATTCATAATAGGCTTGGGAGAGAAGCGATAGGACTTTTCAAACAGATGCTCGTGGAAGCAGTACAGCCCAATGAAGCAACGATGAACAGTCTCCTTCCTGCATATTCCATTCTTGTTGATTTTCATCAAGCAATGAATATACATGGTTACCTAATAAGATCTGGTTTTCTTTCATGTATTGAAGTTGCTACTGGTTTGATTGATTCATATTCGAAGTGTGGAAATTTAGCATATGCTCACCAGATTTTTAATGAAATCCCAGAAAAGGACAGGGATATTATCCTATGGAGTGTGATAATAGCTGGTTATGGAATGCATGGCCATGGTGAGGTTGCTGTTTCACTTTTCTATCAGATGGTTCAATCTGGGGTGAGACCAAATGATGTCACTTTTACCTCTGTTCTTCATGCTTGCAGCCATGCCGGTTTGGTTGATGAAGGCTTGGGATTGTTCAGGTTCATGCTTGAAGATCGGAAAGCGAGTCCTCAGGCTGATCACTACACATGCATTGTTGATCTTCTTGGTCGAGCAGGTCGGTTAGTTGAAGCTTATGATCTGATTAGAACAATGCCGTTTCAGCCTAACCATGCTATTTGGGGTGCACTACTTGGTGCCTGTGTGATACATGAGAATGTTGAACTGGGAGAGGTGGCTGCTAAGTGGCTGTTTGAGCTTGAGCCAGAAAATACAGGAAATTATGTGTTGATGGCTAAAATCTATGCTGCAGTGGGAAGGTGGAAAGATGCAGAAAACCTGAGACATATGATGAACGAAATAGGGTTAAGAAAAACACCAGCTCACAGTCTGGTTGAGGTCAGAAATATGTAAAAAAGCAATAGTGTGATAGTTCTTGACTCCAAGTGGGTAAAAATCAAGGCTTCAACTAAAGCATCTAATCAAAACAGAAACTTGTAGTCCAAGTAGAGTTTCATACATGAAACATTTGTATCCAACACAACACTTGATCAAATGGAGAAGTGGGATGTCTTCTCAAAGAGTTCATATGCACAAGCTTCATATATCTCTTCTGGTGAATTAGATTAAATCATTGCTGCAGCAGTGTGAGTTTTTATAATCATTTTGGGTAAAGAGTTCGAGATTACTCCAGGAAGGCAATTCGTTACAAGATAGATCGTACTAAACTTTGGAAGGCCCTAGCCTGATCAGTGGCTCTGAGGTACTCAAAGAACATCTTAACTTGGATGTATGTCGCAAAATGTGATGTAAAGATTACATGTATCTGCAAGAACTTGACTTCAACTACTTTTTGGTTGATTATTTTTGTTGGCGACATAGTCAATTTAGATCATTTTGGGGTCTACTTTATTATGTCAGAATATGCTTTTAGATTGGTCCACATATTCTTCTGCAAGGCTACCAGCATGTGTAGGACTTGAGAAAAAGATTAGACAATAAAATCTGAGATCTAGATGTCGGTGTGGCTACCTTTTTTGGCAAGCCAAGGCTAATCAATTCAAATGCATTTTCCCATCCCGCGGTATCAAATTTTGGTCATAAACAATTCCCTTTCCTAATTTTTATGCCCTTTTTTATAATTGCACGACACCAAAATTGGAGGACTGCCAAAAATATAATATGCATCCAGTCAACATTACGCGTCTTTGTTAGGGGGAGATTTACTAGTAATTCTTCCTAACTCTGGAAAAAAAGATAGGCCAACTTTTGTGCAAAGAATAACAAACCCACCATATCATCAGATCTCATAGGTTAAAGATGGGCAATATAGATAAACACTTGTGTGAAACGGGGATGGTATTGTGTTGCTATTCATGATCAATCATGACATGCTATACATGATAACTTTTCAATGTGGTAATCTGTGATTGATTAGGAATAGCAAAACAGTGCTATCCCCATTTCATACAAGTTTTTCTCAGGCAATACGACTCAACCGACACAGGCTACATTTATTTTGGTCTCAAAAGCAGACTCAGCACTTGGTCATCTGGGTATGAATGCAAGTTTAGAGGGATGGTACATTGGGTATTCGTGGTAGGTAGGTACCTATGGGCCAACAATAGCCTATAGGTGGGGAGCAAATAGAATACAATATTAAACACATCCTTTTGTTTTAATCAGGCTCTCATTTGGTCCTCATTCAGTATTATCAAACAAAATTAGATATGTGTAATTATTCAATATTTTTGTTTCCGTGAGGATTTGAACTTAAAACGCTTACAACTTATTTCATACTCATTTTTTTATTATCATACAATTCGTGCCCGTTTAAACGTCAATTTTACATTTTTCAGCAATTTGGGTGCTGATGCTGACTAAACTGAATTTGCTTGCCAACTTAACAGTCTTTCTACCAATCTAAATTTGCACTAGTTTGATTTGGTACAAAAGCTAGCCCTAATGTGCCCTAACAACACTACACATATTGTGCAGAAACTATACAAAAAGGTCCCATGACCCACAGGTTACCTAGTTTCATTCTTTTAGTAATAAATAACTCACCTGCTGCTCCTTTTTTACATCAACCTCTCATATCTCATGTGGGAGGAGGTTGCATTAAGACTTTAGGAAGCTTCCAATCCCAATTACCAAATGGGTTTACTACTTTAATTTCTTGCATTACTTGTTCTAATCATCTGTCTATTATTGCTAAATGAGAAATCTAATCAAATGCGTCATTGACGTGCGGCTATAGTCTACAGATAGCCCCATTAACATTATTCTATGCAGTGATGTTGTTCTTACTTTATTTGGGAAAGTTTGATTTCCCATAATAAGCCAATAAGTTTGCGCAATTGGGAATGGCCGGCAAACGGCACAATTTGATGCCGGAAAACGACAGAGGTGAACAGAAAAAGGCATGAAGCATAACACGGATTGGCTGGCTGACCTTTCAAGCGTTGAACTTGAAGCCTAATGAAAACTCCAAAATAAATCCAAGTAATGAACTTTGCTCTCAACAGTGGCAATAGTCGACGTTGTTGTAGCAAATTAAAAGAGAATGACCTTTTAATATTCTCAAACATGTCATAAAAAGAGAGAAGAAAATGGTTGCTATGCTTGTGCCGACCGCAAGAGTAAACATGAGGCCCACCGTGCTAGACAAATTGATCCATTTATATAGGCACGACCTGGTGTGCCCTGACATTAAAGAGTCGTATGATTTTTCTTCCTTCTTGTGGTTGTGTGCTTAACGTATATGAATATCTCACTTAATAGGTTTGATTATTCTGTGCATTATTCATATGACTTCCATGACATGAAATGTTATGACTTAAGACCCCATGGCAATGACTTTGTCTCTCTTTTTTTTTTCTTGAGAAAAAAAGCTAGCTATATATCTAGCCTCCCATTAAACTTTGATTTGGCACCCTATCAGCCCCAAGTAGCATTGTTTCTTTGAGTACTTATTAGTGACTTGCATGACATGCAATGTTAACACTTTAGATCCTCATAGATATGAATTTTGAGGATATATCACCCATGCTAGCCTCCTGTCAAGCTAGATTAACTTGTGCTTCTATGAATCCTTTGATTCATCATCATGCTCCATTGATACATTATACAATCTATCATGTGCGCAAATAATGCTTTCTTTTTTCTTTTATGCAAGAAGATATATATGACTTTTTTGACATGTTTATTTGTGTTCATAGAACAAAATTGAGCGCTGTTTATACTAAACGTCCGAATCTCGTCCTTATTGAAATACAAGTACTATTTAATCTTCAATATTTACCCAAGTAATTATCTTAATCAACCAAAAAATAGAAAATAAATAAATAAACTTAACCACACAAATTACATATCCTATCTTAAAATGCATGCCCATAAACACAGGAGATTTATTTCTAAATTTAGCACCCAATTATCACCCCACTCACTCTCTTCGTCCCTTACCATAACCTCAAAGGTCAAACCACTCACTCTCTTCTCTCTCTAAGCCCAACACGGTTTTGAGTTTTGACTTAAAAATAAATAAAAATCAACATTGAAATTAAAATTAAAATTAAATTGCTTTGTTTTTTGTAATTAGCAATACTTTATTATTTTCCGGGAAAACGAAATTAGATCGGACTGATCAACCAATCAAAGAGGTCCTCACATACCCGGAATGGAAAACTTTGCACGAAAACAAAAACAAAAGCAAAAACCCAATTTTCTCTCTCTTCATTCCCTCTCTCTTTCTCTGTCTCTCATCACTCTCTCTCTTTGATCCATGCTTCCCGACCCAGAAACCCAAATAGATTGTTTGGTTGAAATCTCAGATTAATTGAAGAGAGAAAAATAAAACCCAGTTGTTGAATCTCCAATGCGGTCTTCCAAAAGACCACAAAGAAGCAAATATTTGAGCAAGGGCCATAGATCTGAATTAGGCAGCGTTGAATCTCAGAGTGGGTATTGTCGGTGGGGGATTGCTATTGGGGTTTGTGGGTTTGGATCTAATGGTGAGGGCATGGGTGGTAGTGGCATTAAGTTGGGGTGGTTTCGGTGCTATAGGTATTGCTAGGGTGTTGAACAAGAAGGAGGGGCTGCATAGACGACGATGCAGCTTCACTTCTCGCCTAGTATGAGAAGCATAACGATCTCGAGCAGCAATGGGTTTATTGACTTGATGAAGATCAAGGTCGCAGCTCGCCACATCTCTTATCGAACCGTTTTCCACACCATTCTAATCCTCGCTTTCTTATTGCCCTTCGTCTTCATTCTCACTGCTGTTGTTACTCTTGAAGGTGTCAACAAGTGCTCCTCATTTGGTACTCTTTTTATTTATTTCTTCAATTCCCCAATTGCTATCTCAATCCCAAATTTTTATTTTTTGGTTTTCTTCGTGTGTATTGGTTTGTTTATGATATTAATGGACGGATCTTGACTTGCCCATTTCATGTTTATTGTTATTGTTGGCTTGCTTGGATGAACCCGATTGATTGGTTTTGTTAACTGGGTCCATTTGATTCACATCGAAATCTAAATCAAATCAAATTCTGGTTGTTGGGTTTCCACATATTCGATTCCTTTTATTCAGAGTCTGTTAACATTGGAATTCTATGCCATTGCGTTGGATTGGTTATCTAGTTCTGCAGTATATCACATATTTGGTTAGATTTGAGGTGGATCAATTATTTATGGGCATTTAATGTGTTGATTGGTTGAATATGAAGTAAGATTTAAAACATTCTGTATGGTATGGCAAATAAATTGTAACTGATTCATTAAGTCATCATCACCAATTTCATATTTTTAATCCATGCTAAAGCATTTTGTGAATTCAGTTTCTGAACTGGAACCATCTGTATGATCTTAGGGATATTAGTTATAATTTTCTTTTTCAGTTCATTGCCTTCAGCCATTTGAACTTGATTGGTCAAATCAGTTTGAGGTATTGTCTTGATTTGTTGATTCAACGTTAATATTTCCTGGTTGATGATAAGATTATGGATTTGTTGTGTTGATATGGTATATCATTATTATGTTGATGTGGTATAACATTATTCTTCATTTCATTTTAGTTTCTATCAATATTTAGCATCTAATATTTGGATTTTCATTTGTGCTATTTATTCTACAAAAACTAAGTTGGAGAGAGAATAACATGTACTGCTTGGTTAACCAAATCAACAGAATGGCTGCTAAGCTTGACCCCATATTTTTTATGTGTTCAAAGAATTTTGGAGTAGGTTAGGTATCTCTGATAGTTCAACCCCAATTTTGAATTCTAGGTGTTTCTTTGCTTTAGTTCTTTAAGTTTGTCATCCCTATCAATGGATCTAAGTTCTTCTCTTACTTTTGATACTTTAACCATCTATAAGTTTTCCATAATTGATTCTCTGGTTTTATAAAGCATCAAATTATTTATTTATTTATTTTAATAGTAACATTGTGTTTCTTAGGTCATGGACCACAATTTTTCTGTAACCTCTGGTATTGAATTTGTGATTTATTGTTGCTTTACTCCTGTGCTTCAGATTGTTTAGGTAGGCGTTTGGGACCAAGGCTTCTGGGTAGGGTTGATGATTCAGGGGTAAATAACTTTTTCTCCAGATGCTGTAATTTCTTTAAATTTTTTTCCCGACATTATATTTAAGTTTTGATTTGGGTTAGCAAGTCTATTGAATGATTATCTAAGCTGGATCTTCATGTTGTGGTGACGGCACAGCAGAGACTGGTTAGAGACTTTTACAAGATTCTAAATCAAGTGAACACTGAAGAAATCCCAGCCGGTCTGAAGCTACCAGATTCATTTAATCAACTTGTTTCTGAAATGAAGAACAACCAGTATGATGCAAGGACCTTTGCTTTCATGTTAAGAGCAATGGTATGTTGTGTGTTATAAGAAACATGGTTTTATTCATGTTTTGTATTATGCATTATCTTTTTGGGAGTGGTAGTGTTGGAGTTGTTCCTAAGATGGTCATATCACATCTCATTATTGCAGAGAGATTTGTGGGAAGGGTGGTCTATTTGTGTTTGTGGGTGTGAGAGAGATAGAGAGAGCACCATTAAACCTAACCCCCACTCCCCCCTAAAAGAAAAAAATAACCCTTGTTAACTGTGGGAACTTTAAGAATAATCTTGTACTGTTTTTGTGTGTAGATGGAAAATTTTGAAAGGGAAATCAGAGAGTCTAAGTTTTCAGAGTTGATGAACAAACACTTTGCGGCAAGTTCTGTACCCAAAGGCATCCACTGTCTGTCTCTACGTTTGACTGATGAATATTCATCCAATGCTCATGCACGCAAACAATTGCCTCCTCCAGAGTTACTGCCTTTGCTCTCTGACAACTCTTATCACCACTTTATCCTATCAACTGATAACATTCTGGCTGCTTCAGTCGTTGTTGCTTCTGCTGTCCAGTCATCTCTAAAACCTGAAAAGATAGTCTTCCATATCATTACTGACAAGAAAACCTACGCGGGTATGCACTCATGGTTTGCACTCAACCCTGTCTCCCCGGCTATTGTTGAAGTGAAAGGCGTGCACCAGTTTGATTGGTTAACAAGAGAAAATGTTCCAGTCCTTGAAGCTGTAGAAAATCAAAATGGGATCAGGAATTATTACCATGGGAATCATATTGCAGGGGCTAATCTTAGTGCTACTACTCCACGAACATTTGCATCAAAATTGCAGGCTAGAAGTCCAAAATACATATCCTACTCAATCATCTTCGTATATATATCCCTGAGGTAACTCTCTTCCCTAAGTGGAGATGTGGAGTCTTCGATACTTTTGCAATTTTTATATATGGTTTTTTTTACAGATGATGCTTAATATTAAAGTGGTTTCTGTTTATTTGATAATGTTCTATAAGATTTTCTTTTAATTTTGTAATGTCAAAGTGCATGTGCTGATCATGTATACTGTAACAGCTATTTCCCAACCTTGACAAGGTAGTTTTCCTAGACGATGATGTTGTGATTCAGCGAGACTTATCACCACTTTGGGAAATTGACCTTGGGGGAAAGGTCACGGAGCTGTCGAAACTTGTAGAGGTGAAGATGAGTGGGTAATGTCGAAGCGGTTCAGGAACTACTTCAATTTTTCGCATCCCCTTGTAGCAAAGAATTTGGACCCTGAAGAATGTGCATGGGCTTATGGGATGAATATTTTTGATCTCAGTACATGGAGAAAAACAAATATAAGAGAAACTTACCATTCCTGGCTGAAAGAGGTAAAGTAGAAGTAGTAAAGCTTCCCTTACACACTGGGGTTTTGTTTGTCTTTTTCATTTTCTCGTGGAATGATAGATCTGGTAAACTTTGCAAATTCAGCAAGGCTCTAATGGTGATGTAAACTCTGCAGCATTGGGTTATTTTATTATAATTTTTTCTGTTCCATATTCTTTGAGGTCATTTGCAACCGTATTTTACTTATTCTTGAAAGTCAGTTATTGGCGCATAGCATATGGATTATTGCAACTTACTTTAATTGATTTTCTTGTGCAGAATCTGAAGTCAAACCTGACAATGTGGAAGCTTGGAACCCTACCACCCGCTTTAATTGCATTTAGAGGTCATGTTCACCCAATTGATCCATCATGGCACATGCTTGGATTGGGTTATCAAAATAAAACCAATCTTGAGAGTGTGGCAAGGGCTGCAGTTATCCACTATAATGGTCAGTCAAAACCATGGTTGCAGATTGGCTTTGAGCATCTTCGGCCATTTTGGACCAAGTATGTCAACTACTCGAATGATTTTGTTAGGAACTGCCACATCTTGGATTCATAGTTGATCATCTGGAGGTGCTAAAAACAGGAGATGGGGCAGGAAATGACAAGAGTTATATGGGATTCATGAAGTTTTTTTGCAGCTCGAAATTTTTTCGAGATCTATTTGAGAAGACAAGCAGAAAATTCACCGATAGGGTAGAACTTCCCAGTTCAAGAATCACTTTCATCCCTTGAAATTCTGCAGACAATGACCAGCATCATATTATCACAGCATGAGATTCATTCTTTCATTCTGTAACATAGCAATCTGTCCTCATTTTTTGGTTCGGAGAAGGATAGTATTATTGGTCTTCATGGCGGGGGTTTTGCTTGATTCCTTAGCACATATATCAGAATAAAGTGAAATTCAGATGACAAGTGCCTTATGTCAATACCATCATACTGGTTGGTGTAGGGAAGAGAAAGGCTAGGACAGGTCTTTTGTGAGGCTCTCCCATTAGCCCAGATATGTTTTTTCACTTTCATTTTTTTGCCCTTTAAAAATCTTTTCTTGTCTTCATTTTTGTTAGCACCCATTTCTTCCCCCTCTTTATTTGATATCATGATGTTGAACTTTAGGAGTAGAACATGGAGATTGTTCTGTTACAGGTCCCATTGAATTGGGGAGCTGTTTTTAGGTTATATATCGGTATTTGTTTATGTACTGTTCACGAGAGATTTAAAATGTGCAGATAAATTCTTTTTCCTGGATTTTATAGTTAGTCTCATTATATTTCTAAATTCTTGCTGTTTTTATGCCCTCTGTATTCATTAGGGTTTAGTACCCTACGAAGTTTGGTATCCATGATTTCTTGTCAGCCGTCTAGAGGAAGTATAATAACCCTAGAGGATTCAACTCTGGCGGCAACCATCCAAAACGTGTACAATTTATCTGGTCATATTTTAACTGTAATGTTTTTGGAACCGTTGTGTTTGGCATGGCACTCTTGAAGACTCAGTCTTGACCTTCATCAAAGCTTTGAGAAACATTTGTCTTTCCAAACTCAAGAAGAGATTCTCTACCCAAATATTTTTCTTTATTAACAAGAGATTCTTTACAACTGGAATGTTTCTTAGTTGATGATGACAAGAAACCCATCAACTTACCAATTTGATATTTTGCAAATTGCATTAGACGACCAAATGTGCTAGTTTTCTGATATTTCAATGCGTATAGCGTTTCCTTTTAAGCTACCCGCATTTCCTATTTAATATAAATTAATTGGCCCACATTTGATCAGACCCTTTCGGCATTTTGCTTTCCCATAATAAAATCAAAAAAATTTAATTTTTTAAGGGAATGATTAAGGATGCATTGAGTGGCACTTAGTTGTAATTGTATAAACAATTAATAGATTATTCCGAAGCCTACCAATTTAAATGGAAGAATCTGAGAGGTTCTTGCTTTCTTGGACATACGTATAATGGTCTCATCTGCCCACCTACCCAATCATATATTGCATTTATATATTGACGTGCAGCTCATAAAATTCAGATTTTGCCTCAGTAAATATGGAATTATTATAGCCTAGTGTAGTGGTTCCGAGCATTTACTCCCCCAAGCAAGGTTCTAGATTCGAGTCTTAACATTCGTGTAGTGTGTGTAAATTTAATATAGTATCGCCAATCTCAATAAAAAAAATCCTCAAAGAAAAAAAGGAATTATACAACCCATAATAAGTCCTCCTCCCAACCTAATTGGTGATTGCTCAAAGGCTCAGAATTCAGATGCTGCATTTTGTTATAGGCATGACCCAAAGGCCAAAGGAGAATGTTGAAGACAGTAATGTTTGTATGTTTGTCTTCTTGTCCTTCCACCAGCCATCAGCCTGTGTGTCGACATAGAATGAGATAACTTCAAAATCATAACTTCATTATTGACAGATATATGAGATAACGACCATTCTCCTACTACCCCCACACCCCCCTTCAATTTTTGGGCCACCAATCCATTCTACCTTTTTATTTATATTTCAAAGTTTTTTTTTAATTATTAAAACTCTTTTTGAGTGAATTTTTCTACAATGCGAATTCACATTAAATAGGAACAAATTGTCGTGGTCGTGGTTACACGTAGTTTCATTATTGTTTTACTAATGTGTAAGTAAATCACAATTCATTGGATTCTGTTTGGCTAAATGGGAAATTTTCACACTGAAGATGGAATTGAGTTGGGTCATAAAGAACGGTATTATTGGGTCATGAACAATGAACCACAGGCTAGGATGAAGCATGTACGTGTATATACATGTAAGGTAAGTTGTTGAGTGTCTGATTTACTGTATTGTCACTAATGTGACATTGGAAGTTGGCACTTTAACCCCGAAAGAAGAAAAGGAAATGAAAATAGAAAGACTTTGGAATTGGAAGTTTAGCAAAAGCCAAAGGGTCACACTTTTAAAAGGAGAGAAAATGTGTCCATTTCCATAGCCTTTGGAGATTGCAAGGAGAAGGCAATGGAGTCATTGACCACAGATTTAGAAGACTTTGAAAACTCCGAAACAGCCTCGTTTGTCTCCGGGAACTTCTTACTATTTGATCTCTTCCACTCTGACGTCCCTTATTAATTATACCAAAAATCCCATTTTATTTCTTCTTCGCTTGGATTTCTGAACCACTTGACTGTTCAAAACACACAGAAGGACCCAGATCAGTTTCACAGCCAAGTAAGACAAAACCATCAAAGTTTTTCCATTTTTCTCTGGTCTTTGCTTTGTGCTTGTTTTAGAGCCGACCCAGTTGAGAATTCTAGAAGCTTTTTAGATTCTAATAGCACCCATTTGAAGCTTTGCTGGTTTAACGGATGCTAACAGCTAAATCATAGCTGTTTTTTATTTTCCTCTATGTACTGATTTCAATACTGAATCACAGCTCATTTTCTTTGCTTGAAAGTAGAAGGCTTTAATCACCATATACAAATATACGCGTCCAGAGTTTAAAGTGTTTCCTTATTTGTCTTGGTCTTTATTCTAAGATTGTTGCAAATTTACATAGTTGATATTGTTTCCTTGTTTATATTCTCGTTGACCAATTGGAGAATTCGTTGTATCGATTGCCTGTAGAAAAACCCGAGACACTGGGATTTAATTCTTTTGAACAAGTAGAAATCCTTATACTTATGAATTCTTTGAAGATGGCTGGGGTGCAAGATCAATTGGAGATCAAGTTTCGGTTGACTGATGGATCAGATATTGGCCCCAAAAGTTTTCCTGCTGCTACAAGTGTTGTAACCTTGAAGGAAAGCATTCTTGCGCAATGGCCTAAAGGTTGGTTTTTTCAATTTTCTTTAAAGACCAAAAACTTCTTTGCTTTCTTTTTTGTTGGGTGTTTGATTGCAAAACAAATCAGTCTCAGCAAGCTTATATGTAAAGGTTGCAGGAGGGACTTGGAATTGGTTAACGTCAGATCATAGTTCATATCTCTGTTCTATGTTAGAATTTTCTTTGAAGTGATAACTTAACCAGAACAGGATCTCTTAAATAAGTGACTATGGGATAGTCTTCTCAACACTTGATATTGTGAACTTGTGTTGTCTTTGCAGTTCAATTTTTTATTGGCTCTAGGTGTACTTCTTGGTAACTTAGGTGCAATGTTTAGTTTCATTTGCATGACATGTTTATTACCCTTGAGACATTCTAACTGACATCTCCGCTTTCTCACTTTTTCCTTTCGTTTTCTCATAAACCTTTTCTGAATTGTGTGCTCAAGTGTTCTTATGCTCTCTTTAGGGAATTTGAGGTTGACAAGTTAATTATTGTGAAACCAAGGTTGTGCCAGTTCCATTTGTGGTTCTGCGGACACAGCTTTCATATGAGCAACCAAGCCAATGGTTAAAGACTTAAAAGCACCTTAGAGCTGCTTATGTTACATGGGCTAGTGATTGAGGACATATACCATTCCTTTTACAGGCAGCCTTTTTTAAGGTGTTAAATCTCATCGAACTGAAATGATTTTCTACTAAAGACAAGTTAACTGTCTTAGTACTTCTCTCCTACTTGCACTTGGTATCTGAGACAATTGAGCATGGCTTCAGAGCATTAGATAGAAGCAATGACACTTTGAAATCTCTGAATCTCAGATTTCTCCCTTCTCTTTAATCTTTCTTAATTACCATTAGAATACTGCTTCTTTGTCAAAATTTGTCGGCATGCATGATGAACTTTTGTGACTTGTTTAATGTATTTGAGCTGGTTAAGCATAATATTATTGTTTTGAATCAGAGAAGGAGAATGGTCCAAGGACTGTTAAAGATGTCAAGCTAATAAGCGCAGGAAGAATATTGGAGAACAACAGAACAGTTGGGGAGTGCCGAAGTCCATTATGTGATGTCCCTGGTGGAGTTACAACTATGCATGTCGTTGTTCAACCACCTTCAGTGGAGAAAGGTAAAAGTATATTCTGAGGCTTCAGAACCAAAGTTTTCTATGTAAACCACTGTGTGAAACTAGAAATTACTGAAGTTTTCTTTTCAAATTTTGTTTCTGGCTAAAGTCTCAAAGAAGATATAGTCTCTGTTACTTTCTTTTTCTTTTGGAAAACAACTTACAGGTAAAAAAAGAAACCATGTTTTTTTTCATATGTTTTGTTTTTTTTTTTTTTTTTTTTTTTTTTTTTTTTGCGGGGGGTATATTTTTTTCTTGCCAAACTAAGCAGTTTATCTGATTTTTATGTGCTTGAATAGAGATCATGTGTATAACAAGAAGATTTTTTTTTTTTTTTTTTTTTTTTTCTCCTCCTAATGTGTGGTGGTCCTGTTTGAGGGAAATGGATAAAGACTAGGCAATGACAGATTTTTGTGAGGTTCACAAATACATGCTGTTGTTGTCACTCATAGTTGTTAGGCCCGCACTTCTTTTATTGGCCACCTCCTGAATAGGAGAAACACTGAAAGAAGGCCTGAATCATCTAACTACATGTCATGAGTCATGACAAGTAGAGATTGTTTTGTTTTTATGCTTCTACATTATCTATAATTAAATGTGTATCTTTCAATTGAAACAGAAAAGAAACAGATGAGCGAACCGAAGCAGAACAAGTGCGTTTGTGTTATATTATAACTTTTCTCTTCAGATAGTGGGGATAACATCATTTTTCGGTGGGTGTATATACTTCTATCCCTTTCAATGCTTATCTTCTCTTTTTGCGCCTCTAAACTTCACCGAATCTCAACCTTTATAATGTATTTCTCTTCATTTTCGAGGATAGGTAAAGAGGGTTGGAGCTAGTAATGAAAATGAAGTTGAAAAATTGCACAGATTGATTCAACTCGGTTGGAATTATGCAGGCTTGCTGTCAAAGGTCACAGTTTGGTGCAGGTCCATCATCATACTCTGTTTGTTGTCAAGTCCATGAGACTATGCTACATCATGCACTCATATCTAATATTTTTATGTAAAGAGTTCTTGTGGTACGGTATCGACCTTATTTATTTTCAAATTTTACACTTGAAGTTGTTTCATTCACAATGTAAATTTTTGATGCTATTATCTTGAATCATATTTTGTCAACAAGGAATTGCCAGAGCTCTTCGGAGGTTGGGCTCCAAGTTCCAACAGATTGCTATGCTCCTCAGCTTGGGTCATAAGCAAGAGTTTGTTTTAGGAAAAGATCTTAAGAACTAAAGAAGTTTGTCATGTAATCCGGCAACGGCGCGGCTATAATGAGGGGGATTTTGTGCGGGGGTTATTTGAGGGGGCTACCTTGCTGGCCGTTAGTTTTGGGAGGTAACAAAAGATGGGTTTGGTTAAGGGCTGGTGCTCCTGTCATCTGGTCATCGGCTCCATGTTAAGCCAATAGATTTTGCTCAACATAGATCCTCCACATTGATAGCCTCCAAAGAGAGAAGGCTACAACAACTAAACCTAAACCTCAAAAGAAAGAAAGGCTTCTCGTTCCTCCAATAAATTGGGCAACCAAGTAACAATTATTAAGAATTGGGTGTGCACTGATCTTAACTTGTGAAACCCAGTTGGGGATTTGGAGTGAGAAGCGTTTGAATATTTGCAGTTGTTTGATTGTTGAGCCGACATCCCTCCAAGCTATCCAAGAAAAACCCATCAATAATGAAGAAATCTTAGAACTAAAATAAAACATCGAACCAAGAAAAACCCATCTTTCAAATTTTTAGTTTTTGTCAAAGCTTGAGTTAATGTATAGCGGACCAAAATCTGTTTATGTTTTTTGAATTATAAGGTTTTAGACGTACCCTTTAAGCTTTTGTACGATTAGTTCCTGAGTTGACTGGAATTTTGAGTTCTTTTAACTTTTTACACTTCACTTGAGCCTTTAAAATATATATAATATATAGTCGAAGAGGAAAATGGCCATAGCTGAAGGGCTTTTATTTTGATGAAGACTTCTCACTCGAAAAATAAAAAGGAATATTTATTTGGGAAAAAGAAGCTGCTATATGATGGAGAAATAAAATACATGGATGCAAGCGTCAACTTCAGAATGAGCAAGCCTCTCATTCATGTTCAATAACAATGATATCCAACCTCTGGATGTACAATGATAAGATCCAAACAGACTGGCTTCCCTTCTATATGTTCTTAATCATTTAAGGTTAGCACTTTCATGGAGAAAAGAAAACTATACGTCTGATTTTGAGAGAGTTAAATGTGACTTTACCACCACCACAACACTCTACCCAGCCTAATCCGTACAACTGAGCTTCTATTAATATATAGTTAGCAGATTGTACTCCATTGTTCCCAGACAAACAATTTTCATGCTAACACCTTACCACCACCACCACCACAACACTCTTCCCAGCCTAATCTGTACAACTGAGCTTCCATCACAATCTGGAGATGACGCAAGAAGTCCTACTTATAGTTAGTTCTTGCAGCTAAACTTCCTTCCAACTTGAGGCAACACCTTCAAACAAGACGAGTCCTTCCAAGGACAGAAGCTTCCTTCGTGGGCCACATTCTAACAAAAGTTTAAAACAATTAGACAAATCGATGCAATTAGCAGAGAATGCAAAAGTCATCCCTGGGCGTAACTGAGAGAGAAAATGTGCATGATGCGAAGTAAAGAGAAAATGTGCATGATGCAAAGTAACACATGCCAATTCATGCACCAACATATAAACAATGTAAAGGCATGTCAATCCGTGCATACACCATGTGCATGACCAATGCTGCTTTGGTTAGTAGCTGCTGTGAGAAGACCTGTGTTGTGGATGGCTTGGCTAATTGGAGCTACAATATGGATTTAGGGGTTGTATGTTTGAGGATGCTCCCGTTTGGATTAGTTCCCTGTTAGCTGATGATTTGTTAGATCTCGTTTGATTTGTTCTGATGTAGGTTAGTTGGTTGTTTTCTGGGGCTTTGCCCACTTTGTTCATAAAAATAAAATAAAAATTCCCCCAGTCCTTTGAAAAAGAAGTCTATGTCAAAATGGGTACTGAAAACTGGACAAAAATTGCAATCAACCCCCAACAAAATTCTAGTCAGTGTATCACCAGATTGAATGTCAACTAGGGATTGCCACATTACACAAAATCCTTTTCCCACCTTTTTCTAATGGATGGTTTGCTCAACAAATAGTTCGGCTAACAAGATACCCGTGTACCAAGCACACACAGGCAACAAGATATAAAAACTAACCTTCAGCCAGTAGAAAAATCCACGCAAAAGATTCAAAATTCTAGGGCAGTCGCTGCTAGCAGCATCAAGCTTTCTTGCTAGGACTGCAAGATTAGAAAACAAATTAATTAGACGTTAAATACAATAAATTGAAGCATCTAAAACAATAAGTTTCAAAGAAACCATGGAAAATTATAAATATAAAAAATATAAAAAATATAAAGTCATTAAAGAAATCATGTTGGAAAACTCTCCCACCTCCAAAAAAGATGACCTACATAAGATAGCAGTCCTCATTAAATGAGCTAGAAAGCATATGTACGCAAAGGCAATGGCATTACACAAACAACAAGGCCTTACACCATCAATCAATTTACATCTTGGGTACGCACAATATATTACTGAACTTTTAAGTCATTAATATTTAAACCTAAACCAGGCAATAGAAGTACATATAGTTAAGGCATAAACGCAGCAGGATTGACCCATAATGGGTCCAATCCAACTCTGGGGACCAAATCTAATAGGGCCCCAGTTCATCCCTCAAAAGGTTGCAAGGAGGGGCATGAAGATTCTAACTCTAGAACTTCCCAATCAACAAGAATCAGAGTTCTATATAATCTAAATGTTCATAATAGTGTATGAAGCATCTAAATCCTTGTACTTCTGGTATTAATAGGTAAACAATGTAAAATATGAATCTAAAGGAAAGGATCAGACCACATTATATACCCAATGCCCAATTCAGTTCATTTAACATGTATACACGCAGTGGAGCATACAAAATCCTAGACTTCCTAAATATAAGAGAATCAGCAGCCACAAAAAAGTTCATATTCAGCATACCTCATATGTACCCAAAAAAAGAAGAAGAAAAATGATCAGTTGCACGCATAGGAAAACAAATGCATTTTAAAGAAAACAAACCTATGTGCTGCTTTCGATATGAAGCCCTTAATTTCCCTGACACTGACCTTCGTCGGTTCAGTTGTTTCAAAAGCCTTTTATACTCTTTTTCGTCATAAGGCCGTTTAAGATCCTTCATAAGCCCCTTCCTAAACTGGGCATGACTTGTATCACAAGTTTCAATGCACCATCCACCGTCTACGCCCACCTTTTTATTTCAAAGAATTAAAAGTAGAAACAACCATTAAAAAAATATCAGAAGCCACAAATTAATAGCATGCACATGTGTGTATGTGTGCACGTGTATGCACGTGATAGCATAAACTAGAAAAACAAACCAAAGCTGAAACAGGGAAGATGCATACAACTGTAGATGAGGTAAAATACTCATCGCATGGTTCTTTCTTAATTTCTACAGATGAACTCTCCACATCCTCCTCAAGTACACATGCCACTGGTCCAGCAGTTGTAGGTGTATACACCCACTTTCCACCATATTTTCTTAGACCATCTAGAACCTCTTGATAGTCCAAGTCTATTTGATCAGACACAGCTCCATGGTTGTGTCCATGCTCGGCCAAATGAGGTCTTTTAACAGGATGCCCCTTTGTCCTACTATCTGCACCTTTCTTATTTACTTTCTTCTTCTTCAAATGAGAACTTTTTAAAGTTTCTTGAGTAGTGGGAACCTCTACACCATGAATTTTATTAGAACGCCCTTTTGTCCTATCGGAAACAGGATCCATAGCTTCCACTTTTACATTCTTCTTCACCCCTAAACTCTTTTTATTTGGCAGACCCTCTGAATCTTCCAGACTTCCCCTTGTTTTTTTCCTCATAGCATACCTAACAGTTCTTGGGCTAGTTTTTTTTATTTCAGTCTTCTCTTTCACATGAGATATTGATGTAGGACAGGGATGAATTGCCTTTCTTTTGTAAATCCTAATGGGTTTGACAAAGATGCCCTCATCAGATTTTTTCACAGTTTCTGGGGTATCTAAATTGGCCTCGTCTAGTTCCCCATCTTCTTGTTCATACTTTATCCGCTCCAAATTCTCATTCTCTCGAACAACCACCAATACATAGGACTTTCCATATTCCTTCAGATTTTCCAATAATATCTTATACTGAGGATCCACATCATCATCAAAATCATCGCTATCCACAGACCTACCATTTAGGTTGACATCACCATGATCCATCAACTGAGCATTAGAATGAACATCCCCATCAACTATCCACCTAGTGTCATGATAATCTTGACCATCATCACCACCATGCAGATCTAAACCCTCAAGAAAAACCTTATACTCCTTATCCAGCATTTCTTCGTCCACTTGGATAGTATTAGTATAGTTTCTTCTTTTCTTCGTGGCACTGATCCAGGAATTGGGTTCATAATTCCTATCATCAGCAACGCACTTTCTCTTCCTCCACCTCGCCAACCTCATGTCATTCTCAGAATTATAATCCGTCTTTAAACTGTTAATCTCTCTTATCCCCTTACAGGGGCGCCATTTACCAACAATCAGCACAAAAAACCCTCTTTGATTCTGTTTCAAAACACGCAGAAACAAAAATTATAAATCGATAATGCAAATATCAGAGCATGCATTGTAACCCACAAATCTGTAATGTCGATGGAACAGAAAAACCCCGTTTGGTTTCTGAAAAAATACAGGAAATGAAAAACCAGTGACGAACCCAATTCCTACACTTTCTTTGAACAAAATAACAAAAGCCCACCATCAGTAAACCTTAAACAAGCAGTAAAGTTTAACACTTGAAATTTATCACAATAAAAAAATAATAAAAGATTTTCCCGGGTTTTCTCAGGAACCAAAAGGAGGTCTTGGGCTGAGAAAATACGGGAAAAGAAAAAACAACGAAGATCCCAAGTTTATACAAAAAAAAAAAAAAAAAAAAAAAAAAAAAAAAAAAAAAAAATAAAACAAACAAAAAACAGACAACATTAGCCAATAAAAAAGTAAATAACTTTCCCGTGTTTTAGGAACCAAAAGGGGTCTTGGGATGATATTTCTTACCTAAACCCCAGCGAGGACTCCGGCGAGATCGAGTTTCACAATGAACCATAAGGTAAAGCCAAATGCATCACCGCACTTCGTGAGCTTTGGGGACTTGAGTCGACTGGCGGAGGCCTTAATAGAAATGACTGATAGCGGGAGTGAAAATGGAGCAGAGAGACCGAGAGACAGGAGAGAGAGAGAATGCAGACTCGGGTTTTAGCTTTTGTTATGGGTTATTTCAACCCGGTTGTAACAATAAGATCATTTTGACAATGCACTATCGGTCTCTATTGAGAGTCAAGACTTTCGTTGGCCAACTCATCGGTGGGCTAAGCTATTCGGCCTAGTCTTGAACTTGGACCCAAGATAATCATGTTCTCATTGAATTCAGACGTTGCAATTATGCGACACTTGAAAAAGACCACATGAAACGCAGATGCGAATGAGACTAGTCGGTTAAAGTAGTGTGTCCGTATTTAAAACACGTGACATGTAAAATTAAATAAGATTAAAACCGAGATTTTTTAATCCAAGCAATCAAAGCATAAGCTTTCCGATACAATTATTTGTGTAGTGTCCGTTTACAATATAAGATTCATTTTTCTTTTTTTTATTTTTTTCTACTAGGAACTAAGTTTTGAGAGAGTACTTTTTTATGTTCGCTAAATGCGTGACACGTTACTTTTCTTTTCCATCCAAAGCATCTTGTGGGTCCCCATTTCATCAGATCCAATGATCCGCTGAATTAGGCCACGTGTATGAAGATATTAGAAGAGGCTCACCACACACCGTAGGCCCTAGCGTACGGAACAATTCTCGACGTTTCCAGAAGTCTCGTTAACAAGAAGGGGACAAATTTGTTCCTTTTCTTTTCTTTTCTTTTTGTTAGTATGAGCAACAAATAAAAAATAAAGAAATTTCGAAATTTGAGCTTCGTTAATCGGTACTTCGCTTCAGTGACAGGAAGTTGCGAGAAGCCTCTTCACCTCACCTCATAAAATCTCCATATCTTTTCTCAATTCCTACGCAAAGCTTCTTCTTCCTTCTCCAACATTTCAAGGCAAGCTCCTTTTCCTTTTCTCAATCTGAAAATCCAAACCCACTTCACTCTCACGAACTCCACAACATCAACGATAAGCAGCTTTCCGAGTTCCGCCAATGGCGTCCGCGACCTCCTTTGCTTCTGGGGTCGGTCTTCCTCTTCCCCAATCGGTTTCTTCCAAATGGTGCAATAAAGCTGCTATCTTTGCTCTCCCACACCTCTCCCTTAGCTTCCATGCCAGACCCGGATCCTTCAGGGCCTTAACTTCGCGGCAATTGAGCCAAAACGGTGAGTTCCGAACTGGGTTGCGGAGAAATAGTCGGAGTTCGAGGCCTTTTGTTGTGCGCTGCGATGCTTCAACTGGAAGGGTATTGTATATTTTCTTTTTCTCATGTTGTTTATCTTAACGGACTGTTGGGTTTTTGTAATTTTGCTGTAAAAATTATGTATATGACGGGGTTTTGGTAATTGATGGAGTGACAGATTACACAACAGGACTTTACAGAAATGGCATGGCAATCGATTGTTTCGTCTCCAGAAGTGGCAAAAGAGAACAAACATCAGATAGTGGAGACTGAGCATTTGATGAAAGCACTCTTGGAGCAAAAGAATGGCCTTGCTCGTCGCATTTTCTCCAAAGCTGGGATCGACAATACCCGTCTTCTTGAGGCAACTGATAAGTATATTCAACGCCAACCAAAGGTATTTGTCATTGGTGGTCTCTGTAATGCTTAAGCACATAAAGTTAGTTATTTATGACTTTGGCATTGCTTGTCTTACAGTAAAGTTTACTAATTGAGATGCTAAGAGGATAAGTTAAATGTCTTAAACTGCAGTAGATTACTGGCTGAGGATAGATGTGAGCTGCAGATGCAAACTTAGTTTTGATCTGTATGAGATTGCTGTTTCTAGAATTGACCAAGGCTCTCTTATAACTTATAAGCAGGCACCCAAAATATTAGTTATTAATTGATGCACAATCATTTGACATAAAATTATGCTTTTAGAGGCCCTTAAAGCGCATGATGGAAGTGGAGTGACGTTTTCATCATAGTTTTTGACAGCCTACAAGATCCTAATATATGCCGTTGACTGGTTTGGCTTGATCCTAGATACATTCTCTACACTTGTGGAAAACCTGGTTAACTTGTGTCCGTCTCTGTTTAATTAAAACAGGTTCTTGGTGAATCTGCGGGCTCAATGTTAGGACGTGACTTGGAAGCCTTGATTCAACGAGCCAGGGATTACAAGAAAGAGTATGGGGACTCATTCGTCTCTGTGGAGCATTTGGTTCTTGGTTTCACTCAAGATCAACGATTTGGGAAGCAATTATTTAGAGATTTTCAAATATCCAAGGAAACTTTGAAATCTGCTATAGAATCCATACGGGGACGCCAATCAGTTATTGACCAAGGTTGCAATGTGTTTCATTACTTTTAATCATTGTAGAGGATGTTTTTTGTGTATACATGTGCTGCTTGATCGAACAATGCAAAGTGGGGAAACAAAAAGCAGGTTTAGTGTTTAGTGTTCCAGTCTTCTCGTGGTGCTTGATAGCAATTTCAGTGTATGATTGTTAGCTGCCTTTTCAATCTATTTGCATGGAAGTATGACCCTCCATTTTTTGTTGCAGATCCTGAAGGAAAATATGAAGCACTTGAAAAGTATGGAAAGGATCTGACAGCTATGGCAAAGGCAGGAAAGCTTGACCCAGTAATAGGAAGAGATGATGAAATACGCAGGTGCATCCAGATTCTCTCCAGAAGAACAAAGAACAACCCGGTGCTGATTGGCGAACCAGGTGTTGGAAAAACTGCAATTTCCGAAGGGTAAGTACCTGGTTGTTTGCCTCTGCATATGCGTCATTGAGACAGGGATGTCTTTGAACAACTTTTGGTTTTCTGGATACACAGCTAGCCACTTCTAGCTTATCTTATCTGTAATCTTATAGTTATTCTTGTTGTTTCTGGTAGCCGTATTGAACTTCTAAAGCTAGTAAAAGCTTAAAGATTAATCTAATTTTCTTTATACATTAAGCATTAATGTTATGTTTAACATGATTAATCTCAATACTAGTAGTAATACAGTTACTTGAGTATGAGATGAGTACCAAGTTTTTACACTGGCTTTCATTAATATGGAATATCAAATTCAGGCTTTATAGGTAAGTTTGTTAGGAGGCCTCTTAGTGACTTATTTCTTTATTGGGCACATCAATCTAACTCAACTTTTCAACAGGCTTGCTCAAAGAATTGTGCAAGGGGATGTCCCACAAGCTTTGATGAACCGTAAGGTGTGTGCTCTATCTTGAGTTTGATGCCTCCTACCAGGAAATGTGTTTATTTACATGACCTACTTTGCTTGACAGCTAATATCCCTTGACATGGGTTCACTAATTGCTGGGGCAAAATATCGTGGAGAATTTGAGGATAGGCTGAAGGCAGTACTTAAGGAAGTAACAGAATCAGAGGGCCAGATAATCCTTTTTATTGATGAGATCCACACAGTTGTTGGGGCAGGTATTCATCTTATTTTCTATTCTCATATTCATATATATTGGCGGAACAAACTTTAATCCTCAATCTTTAGAAAGCATCGGTGGAGGCTTCACCAATTATTATTTGTTCAGGTGCTACAAATGGTGCAATGGATGCTGGCAATCTCTTAAAACCCATGCTTGGTAGGGGAGAGTTGCGGTGTATAGGTGCAACAACACTGGATGAGTATCGTAAATACATTGAGAAAGATCCAGCATTGGAGCGTCGTTTCCAGCAAGTTTATGTTGATCAGCCTACTGTGGAAGATACCATTTCAATACTCCGTGGACTGCGTGAAAGATATGAGTTGCATCATGGAGTTCGCATTTCTGATGGTGCACTCGTGGAAGCTGCGATTCTCTCAGACCGTTACATCAGTGGGCGATTTTTACCTGACAAAGGTAATACCATCACAATGTATTCAACAACTAAACATTTGAACAATCTCTGCTTCAATTAGAAACTGATCTAACAAATTATATGCAATTAATATCTTAGCATTTACATGTTACATAGAATGCTAATATGTGCCCTACAATTGCAGCTATTGACTTAGTTGATGAAGCTGCTGCTAAATTGAAAATGGAAATTACGTCAAAGCCCACAGCCCTAGATGAGATCAACCGTTCAGTGTTGAAACTTGAAATGGAGAGACTATCTCTTACAAATGATACAGACAAAGCTTCTAAAGAGAGACTGAACCGCCTTGAGGCTGAGTTGTCTCTCTTAAAAGAGAAACAAGCTGAGCTGGCTGAGCAGTGGGAGCATGAAAAATCGGTCATGACTCGCATTCAGTCAATCAAGGAAGAGGTATGTACTAATACTATACACGCGTTTTCCTTATTGTGTTTCTTTTTAATTTAAAACCCCGTTTCTCTTTCTAATACTGTTTTCTTAGATCAGCCATCATGACATTTTCTTTTTCTTTTTTTCTAAAAAGAAGAAATCCAATTAGTAATTTAAGTGGGAGGAACATACAAGTTTCCGAGTCAAACAATTACTAATTAATTGGTGAAAATTTAAAATCAGAAGATAATGAGGTAAGCTTTGAAAGATGTGGCTAATAAGTAATAAGTCTGTTATGTTTCAGATTGACAGGGTAAATCTTGAGATCCAGCAGGCTGAACGAGAGTATGATCTCAACCGGGCTGCTGAGTTGAAGTATGGGAGTCTGAATTCTTTGCAGCGCCAACTTGGTGGTGCAGAAAAAGAGCTAGATGAGTATATAAAGTCTGGGAAGTCCATGCTGAGAGAGGAAGTTACTGGAAATGATATTGCTGAAATAGTCAGCAAGTGGACTGGTATTCCTGTTTCCAAGTTGCAACAATCGGAGATAGACAAGCTCTTGCACTTGGAGGATGAGCTGCATAAACGTGTTGTGGGTCAGGATCCTGCAGTGAAATCAGTAGCTGAAGCTATTCAGCGGTCTCGAGCAGGTCTCTCAGATCCTCATCGCCCAATTGCTAGTTTCATGTTCATGGGTCCCACTGGTGTTGGGAAGACAGAACTAGCTAAGGCCCTTGCCTCCTACATGTTCAACACTGAAGAAGCACTTGTAAGAATTGATATGAGTGAGTACATGGAAAAGCATGCTGTTTCCAGATTGATAGGAGCTCCACCTGGTTATGTGGGGTATGAGGAGGGAGGACAGCTGACAGAGACTGTTCGCCGGAGGCCATATTCAGTTATTTTGTTTGATGAGATAGAGAAGGCACATTCTGATGTGTTCAATGTGTTCCTTCAAATTTTAGATGATGGGCGAGTAACTGACTCACAGGGTCGCACTGTGAGTTTCACCAACACTGTCATCATCATGACCTCAAATGTGGGTTCACAGTACATACTAAACACTGATGATGACACCATGCCAAAGGACTTGGCTTATGACACTATAAAGAAGCGGGTAATGGAAGCTGCAAGATCAATATTTCGACCTGAGTTCATGAACCGAGTTGATGAGTACATAGTTTTCCAGCCCTTGGACCGCGATCAGATAAGCCGTATTGTCAAGTTACAGGTAATTTCAAAAATTCTTTTTCGCTCAGTTATTTCCTTGTTGACATGTATATAAATATAATTTGTTCTTCCTAGGATTTGGGATTAAATCTCTTTTAATGGTCTCTAAGACAATGTTGATTGGTCAATTTCTCTCCTTTTCCCCCTGTTGCTTCCTGCATTACCTTGTTCTGTGGTAGAGCATCATTTTTTTGCTCATAGCTTTTACATGTCCATCGCAGTTGAACCGAGTGCAAAAGAGAATCGCAGACCGCAAGATGAAAATGAAGGTGAGTGATGCAGCTATCCAGCTTCTTGCAAGTCTCGGATATGATCCAAACTACGGTGCTAGGCCAGTCAAGCGGGTGATACAGCAGTACGTCGAAAATGAGCTTGCCAAGGGCATCTTGAGAGGAGATTTTAGGGAAGAAGACACTGTGTTTGTAGACACAGAGGTTACAGCGTTTTCGAATGGCCAACTCCCCCAGCAAAAGCTATTGTTCAAGAGGCTTGAAACTGATGATTCAGAATCTCCAGCTGCAGAGAACCAAGAGGCTTTCTCAGAGACTCTATAGATGCTAACAAAGTTGGGGCGAGGTCCTCTGGACATAGTCAGGAGATTTCTCTCTTGTATATGGCATAATGTTATGTTACAGAAACTTATTAGCTTCAAAATATGCTTTAATCTTTTGTTCATATCAATATTTCATGTTTCCAAAATCCCATCGTTGCAGATTTTGTTAGTCTCTCGATAGAAAAAGCTGCATTATTGCCTTTACATTGCTTGAAATATTAAGAATAATACAGATCATATTTTACCCTGCTTTTCTCTGATGTTGTTTGTGTTCTGCTGCAGAACTTGATCACACAAAATTTAACCCCAAATATAGACCAAAAATAAAATAGAAAAAAGAACTGATCACACGCATGACGTGTCAAGTTTGTGCGGTGTTCTTGGACATCGGACACCGTTCGATTAATTAAGCACGTGACCCACCTTGATCAAGAGCCTTCTTCGTGACGTTTCGATCAAATGCACGTCATCTGGGCCGTTCGATAAAAGCCCATGTGGTCTGGACCGTTGGATTAAAGAACCGGTCAGACTGGTATTTAATAGCGCCAATACTTTCACTCTCGAGTGTGCTGAACATTGACATTTGAGCAGCAGACGGAGACGAATTTAAATGGGTGAAGCCCCTCTTGTTTTCTTTCTTATGGATGATCAAATCCACTAAACCTCTAAGAACAGTTGGGTTGATGCCAAGTTCTTAATAGTTTTTTTCAAAAAAATTTTGTTGGCAGATGAAGGAGAAGAAGTGAAATCAAAAGGAGGTAACTTTGGGGACGTAATGGAAGGAGTGGCTTCAATAGCACTGTTACCATCTGGGGCCATATCAGGCCACTTCATCCACCGCCAAAACTCCATTAGCATTTGCTACGGTCTTTTTGGAACTGGTAATTCCTTTCTCTGTTTTCTTATCATGATACCCTTTGCGATATCGATGCTTAGCCATTAATTTCTTTTACCATGTTCGGTAGAGTTGGCATGTGAAAAGGAGTGTAGCAGGGGTGAGGATTATCGTCTGATCAAGCTTGAAATCATAGACTACAGTGTATGAGGGATTTTTCATCTTTCTTCTATTGTATTTGTACGCTATTACCTTCTCCTCTTTTTTGTTTCATTTTTTACCAGAATGGTACTTTGCCTTTCTATAATGTAATTCTCTGTGTGGCCTCTAATGGGTTTTGATTTTGACAGAGAAAGAAAGAAAAGGTTGTGGTTGTAGAGTGTAGAGGCCATGATGCTGCTAGGTTGCAGAGCATTGATCATGCTCATGGGTAACCCATTTTAGATCTATCTTGCTGGTTCTTAATTTATGTTAGATTATTTTGCATATTGCATTGTTGGTTCTTGCCCTTTAGTATATTTGAAGTTACAGATACTTTAGCTTATCTTTTGTTAAAATTCTTTGCTTTTATAGTCTTGTATCTCTGTGATTTCTACAATGATAGGAGAACCTTTGGATGAACCATTGTCTTTCATAACGTGATCAAACTATTATCTAAGATTTTGATATAGCTGAGTCATTTTTCCTTTTTCAAGAATAACATTTTCTTGCAGCCTCACTCCCATTTTATGTAGTTTCATTGTGAATTTCTGTTTTCATTTATAATTATCTCTTTCATGATTGATCATTACGTGTAGATAACATATTTTGCCTCTTGTTTGCGTTCAATGGTAGGCAGTTGGGAGGAGGATGTTGTGGATCTGGTTGAAGAACAGCATGGGAAGGACAAGCTTTTGGTTTCTTTCAACTGTGAGACTCTGAAATCTGATAAAGCAGCAGAAGATCATATCAAACAGTTTATGCCCAAGTTAGCTGGCCTGGATGCTATTGTGTAAGGCTTATTTTTTCTCTTATCCCCTGTCCCATAACTCTATATGCACAATAACATATGTCAAACAGACGACAGTGGCTTTCCTGCTACTGTCTGGTTTTCCGGCACTTTGTATGGAAAGTCCTCACACCTTTCTTGCCTATTTCCTAGTTCTAGGATTTACGAGAAACCAGCCACAGTTTGTAGCATGGTTTCCTTAAGGGTTTTTTGGAAGACAATCCAGAGAGAAATTAACTTTGATTGTCTGCTTTCTAGTTTAAGGCTTTAAGCCTTGCTCTTGCTTCTCAGGGTTACTTCTGTATTTTTCGTATTAACCCTATGCTGATTTGTCAAATGTTTCAGTTTTTATATGCCTTGTACAAGCCCTGACTGAGAATCTAAATTTTGCAGCAACATTGGTAAGATGACCATTGCTGGGTTGAACTTCGAAGCAGAGGAATGAGCACATTTTATGGTCGGATGTATATAATGTACTTCTGTATTTTTCGTTTATGTAATATAGTTGTAATGTGTTACCAACTTGAGACTGATCAAATGTTTGTGTCACTTTAAGCTCTGTTTGCCAATTTTGCCGGTTTTGAAACCTTGTATCCTGCTGCATCATCTGTTTCGCATGAGCAAGTTAAAGCAGAAAACTGATCATATATAGCCTTGTGTTATTAATTTTTTCTTATATGCTTCACACTTGCAAATCAAAACATGGTCCGAGTCTGTGCTATTAGTAGGGAGGTTTTAAAGAGGTTGCATAAGTTGACTTAAAAGATCCGATTAATCGAGTGAAACCTGATATCGTATTTACGTGTTTTACTCTTCCAACAAATTCTGATTGCCCAGATGCAAATGATATTTAAATGATCAGTATAATGCATTTCCATTATAGCAACAGAGTTTTAATCACTTTCCCTTCTTTGTATTACGAGTAATTGAAGTCTTTAAACTCTTCTCTTATCACTGTTCAAAGTTCTAAGCTGATTCAAGATTTATTGGAAAAGTCAATGAACGAGAATGTCAACTTATTGCACAAACCAGTATCCAATCCACATTACATATATAGGCCACGCATAATGTACATTGTATTACAGTCCACAGTGACAACATTTTATGCAAAGGACAATGGAAAAGAAATGGTTAGCAGCAGCTTCAAGCACTTCCACGGTAACCCACCAGACCAGGGTAAGACTGAAAGCTTCGACACTTAATCGGATTGTAATGGTATGATTTCAGCTTCCACAAGCCGAGTCAAGATCCCATAATATTTGACCTTCCCAACCTTAAACTTGCAACGCCAAGAGACCTGACAAAACATAAGGGGAAAGAATAAAGTTATCTTATGATTCCAGCAAAAAAAAGGGCGGTCAGCCCAAGTAGAAAGCATGTTCAATTGAGCTGCAAGAACTGAAACATATTCTCATGGTTTACTTTTTAATGAATTAAGGCACATTCAAATGGAACTTTCACATATTGGAATACTAGTTTTGCCATATCCAGCGAAATGGGATGCTCTTGTTGAACTTACATTATAGGTATTGCGTCCATGTCATCCCATAGAAAAATCGCGAATCTCCCTATAGATATAACCCGATTTCCAAAAGAAAAAATTTCTAAAACTTCAAGGTGGAAGAGAGTACCTCTTTTTTGTTTCAACTGTCACTCCAACTCTGATGCCTCTTCTGAATCAGATAGAGGTAGCAGGGTACAGATCCCAAGCATATGTCCATTAAGGCAAACAAAATACTCAATGCAATCCTCATAAGCTCCCAATCTGCAGCTGGCACTCTGCGGTATCATTTTGGCTTGCAACATGCTCCATAACTTAGCTTTACAGTAAGGGCACACCTCTGTTGGATGAAGTTGGGCCTCCTTCTTAATCAACATCTTCCGAACCTTTGACATTGAGAATGACTTGAAGACTCCGCGGAAAAAAACCAACATCCCCCTCTTCACCTTGGTCAAGATGTTCACAGGGATCAGACACATACAAAACATCTGTTCTGCATTGTGGCAAGAGAAAGCTCTTCCCAGATGTCCTAGAGAACCTGGTCCTATAAACAAAGTGACCAGGGATTTGAATGGTATTAAAGAGGCCACCCTTCTTAGATCCTGTACAGTAAATAAGCAGTTTCCCGAGCGCCCTCCAGTTCCATCTACACTGTGACTCCCACTAGATTGAAGATCAATCATCATCTTTGGTGCTCTTGTTCGGCAAAATTCCTTCCACAGTACACGCTTGGCGAGATCATCAAACCATTTGCAGACACAAGAAAGTGTAGCAATTAACTTAGGATTCCAATTCAACTGCTGGAATACTAGGAATATTGCATCTTCACTTAGATGCCCTTTTGTACATTGACAGCTTGTTGAGTGTATGCAACGATACTGCTTTGTAAGAATCATTTTGTCCACCTAGAAAGATTGAAAAATACAATAATCTCAAATCCCTGTAATTCATGAGACTGTCAACATGTAGAATACATGCACTCACACTATTGTTTATCAGCCAAATAGGAGAACAAATGTTAGATTTAATGGTATTACAATCTGGGAAACCAGAGGTACTTCGCAACCACAAGCACATAAATGCTCTGTAGAATCATTTTGTACGCCTACTAAGACTTTAAAATATAATAATATCAAATCCCTGTAGTTCTTCATGAGACTACAAATATATCAAATGCGCTCAAACTATAGATTATCAACCCAATAGCAGAAGGCACGATCAATTTTAATATTAGAATCTAAAAACTCACATATGTTTCAGAGCAACAAGAATTTTCCGGTTTAAAGTTTAACTAGAAATCTTAGACACACAAAATGGTAAGTAAAAGAAACATTTAAGTCCCGAAAATTCATTGCAAATTAAAACTCCAATCAACTTCAATCACATAACAAACGACAGGGTTTTGGTATATTTTCTCAATGCATGTCACATATTTCCAAAACCATAGATCCACAAGGCACTCCGCATGAAAAACAAAGCTTTTAAACAAAATATAGCAACTACTTAATCCAAATAAAACCCACATTAATTCGTGTACTGATTAAGATTAGACAAAAACTAAGAACATGCAAAATGTCATATCAAAACCCACCGAAACGCAGGTAAAGAAAGCTTAAAGTGGACTAGATCGTAATTAACATGAAATGGGTACCCAATTTCTCACCTCAGCCTTAACCTTAAAAATGGATTGCGTACAGAAAGCTTCATCACTCGCGGTAGAGCAGATATCCGTGGCTTACAAAGCCCTTTCCCGGCATAGTTTCGAAACCCTAGCAAACCCAACTGTGCAAAATCGAACAGAGATTAGGGTTTTCATAAGCAAAAGAAGAAGGAAAAGAAAATTAAAGAAATCAAAGCTAGAAGAAATTTCCATTTGACAAGCGAGGAAGCAGTGGGAAATTGGATTTACTTCAGGGGCAAATATGTCCAAAGAAAAATTCAGTGACAGAAGCACAGCCGCACAGGTCAGGTACTGAAAGCAAACCCAAACAGCGGTGGTATCTGGTGGTAGGGACTGGAAAGACGAAGGCAGGCTTTGGCTTCCAAAATAGAAGAATTGCAATTTGCCGGAAATGTTATAACGACTTGCCGGTCCTTTATGTATAGCAACAACAAATTGCTTCATGCCACGTGTTATACCGAGGTGGCGGCTTTGGATATGTGCAGTGGGGACCACATTGTCTTATCTGTCATTCAGACAAGCAACTCTCATCTTTGTTCACAAATTTACTGTCGGGGAGTATGGTATTTATCGTGTCAGCCAAAAGCGCAAAGGATTCTTCAGGTACAATATCTCCTGGTGGCAACCTTTTGCTTTACCTTTTTTAAAAATAATTTTATATATTTATGTTGCTTTAATATGATACCCTAATTTTTTTTAAAGAAGATTTTACAGTGGAAGCAAAAAATTTAAATTACAAAAAATAAATAAATAAATAAAACAGCTTCACCGTCTCCTTGCTTTCAAGTTCGAGTTCATATTCTCGTAGATAAAATCAATTAGTATATAGCTTCTATTTTTTCAGAAAAATACATGTTCTATTCTAATTCTAGCATAGGACAAGGTTTTGGCCTTACTTGGCATGCTTATTAGCTTTGATCTGGTTGGCCTTTGCCATTGCTACACCCAGGCTTCCACTAAGGCTTTCCAAAAGCATTGTATATTTGTATTGTTGTGGGTGTTTCCAAGGTCCAACCACATTTCACATATGCGTGCATCTCATACAAAATTCATTCAAATAAATGTATGGCAATACATATCATCTGCATTATGAACACATTTAAGTCAATGCTGCATAATTTAAACACCACCATTTTGTTAACAAATCAGGTAATAAGCTTGGATCAGTCATTGTATTGGCGGAGGAAAAGCTAAATCCAACAAAACACCGTCAAACCAAACAAAGCACAATTACAGTCAATATAGTAACTTTATTAAAAACCAAGAAAACCGATATCACAAGTAACCAACAAACAGTTCTGTAATTTTTCTTTTCTCACTCAGTATATGAAGTCATGAGTATAATTGTTTTATTCACAAGATAACAGTCGATCATATCTGGTATGAAACTCAAAGGGAAAGGGAGAAACCACAAAATACAGATGAGGCATGTTAAGGTCTAAGCTTGCAAGACTCCACTTCAACTCTGCATCCAGGCCATCTAATGCCAACGGAAGCAATCTTCCTTTACATTTTTGCAGACCATGAGCTTGTTAACTCAAATTCTCACATTAGAAGCTTAGGTTTATTTTCTATTGTTCTTTTACCCCACTCAAGCAACAGAGCTTGCTGAAGGTTTGCGCTCTTGGAGTGAGATCACTGTTTCAAAAGCACCAACTAAGGCCTTAACCTTACTCTTCCGGGTTTCAACAAGTTTACTCGCTGTTTCTTCGATCACATTATTAAATAAACCTTTCTCATCTTTCTTTCCTTGAACATCTTGATGTCTCAAAACAACCTTCTCTGCACCAGGTTCGGTAGCGAGTGTATCACCATTAGCACCTCTCTTCTTAAAGCTTCGCCTTTGTGCATCAGCTTTGACATTCTGGTTGTCTCCCAACACTCTTCCCCGCCTAAATTTGAGTCTCCTTGGACTATCATTCTCAAATTTCCCGTCAACCACCTTTCCCCTCCTAAACTTTAATGGTTGGCCATCCTTCTCTTCAGAACAAACCATTCCAGACTTTCTCGGTTTCCCTTTGTCACCCTCCTTTAGGGTCTCTGCATTCTCTCTATAGTCAACTTCACTGTCTTCTGAGAAAGAGTAGTCTTCTGTTTCACTCATTGTATATTCAGACTCATGATCTTCTCCTTCATGGGATGAAAAGGACACGGGGTTTGGGAGGCACAAAGACTCGGGTGAAGATGATGATAAAGGTGTGATGGTTCAACTTCACAATTTTTGTTTTGACCAGATTCCAAAGGTTTGTTCTCAGTTTCAATCTTGATGACATACAAGGTCTTCTCCTGTACCTCATCATTGTTGAGTTGCTTGGGTTTAGCTTTTCTGATCTTGTTATGATTCTTTAGAGGAGACACAACTTTCACAGTCTTGTTCTTCTGTGTTTTTAAGCTTGCAACTCTCCTGAGAGAAGGTCTGGGGGACATTGGTGCTGTTGGGGGCACCAATACTTTCTTCAAAGCCACTATGGGCGTTCTTGCCCTCTTGCTTATCTTGACATCACTGTTTCTTTGGCCTTTTAAACCTCCTGAAGATTCAGGAGAAGACATTTGCTTCAGAGCTAAAGATTTTGGCTTCAGAGAGGTCCCTGTCCTCTGGCCTATCTTCAAATCACCGCTTCTTAGGGCACTTGAACCTCCTGAAGTATCAGGAGAGGACAATTCCTTCACTACAAAAGATTTTGGCTTCGAAGAAGTGACATGTTTTGCAGACAAACTCTTGTCCTTAAGTTTTATTGAACCCTTCTTTGAAGAGACTTCCAGCTTATCAGGAGATGATGAAACTTCCTGCTTCATGGTTTTAGGCGCAGCATAGACATGGGGTTGTGAACACGATGACGATTTGAGCTTGGTCAATGATGTCTTCTTCCTATCAGCCAGAAGCTCACTCCCAACAGGATTTTGGCTGTCAATTGAATTATTTGACAGTTGCTGCTTGGTAATGTTACATGTATCAGGTAAAAGGGTTTTCGAATCAGGTGAATGTTTGAGCTTGATCACTGCTGTATTTTTCCTCTCTGGAAAAACTGCACTCTCTACTGAATTTTGGCTGTTAGGTGATTTTGTTGGAAGTCTTCTTGGTACGGACTTTATGGGACATCTTGCCTTCACTTCCAATTCATGTTTCTTCCCATATTTACAATGATCATGACAGGAACCAGTAGAAGCTCTGAGATAATGAGGAATCCTTTCTTCACTGTTTAACGAGAATATTTTCCCTGTAGAATTTCTTCTTGAATTACCCTCATCTTGCTTTGTTGTTTCACGGGTCATTGATAAATTGATACCCAATTCATCCATCAGAAAGGAGTGAGATACTTCAAACAAAGTTTACAGCAGATAATCCTGAAAACCAGCCAAAAAGAAAATTATAATGGAGAAAGAAGAAAAGAGAACGGGGTAGGGGGTGGCAGATCAAAGATGCATAATTTACAAAACAAAAATGAACACAAATAGGTATAAGAAATCTATCAAAGCAGTGGAGGTGGTAAGAGTCACAAAATTGAGTTGATAAATGACCTGGATAAGCATGGCACAACATAAACTGCCATGTTAGCTTGTAATTTTTAAATCAGATTCAGTAAAAGTTTTACCATAATGAGCACTTACAGATAGCTTCAAGCAGGAAGGTTTTCAACAAAATTTTCAACCTGGCGAAAGGTATAAAAAGTATGCATTTACAAGGTTGCACCACTAAGTGAGATCATAAAACTCATACAAAGAATCAGTTTGGTAAGATTTATTAAACGTTGAGGGAGATTAGACACTGATATGGACAAGAGGAAAACCAGGAAGAACAATGTAAAATGGAATTGGGGGTTATGGAGGAACCATTGACCTCTAAATAACTCAAGTTAATCGGCCTAACAATCCTCTTCTTTTACTACACTGCATAACATAACGTAAAATAGGCGATTACATACAACTAAATGATCCAAAAACAAGGAACCACTAACCCCGGCAACTATATTGGTGTGGGAAACATCCTGCTTAAACTAACCACATACTCCTAGTTGTGCTCCTACTAATCATATAGCGGCAATACTTATTTCAACTAAAAAGATAAGACCAAAACATTTTCAAACTCAAATGGAAAACATGTCATGTAAAAGTAAAAAACACTCACACACGACACCAAAATAAGTAATGGAATCAAATTCCATGCTCTCTTGATTTTGAAATTAATTCCAGATGGGGCACCAAAGTTAGACATTCGAGTTGATTGTGCAAATTTTGAAGGTTTAGAGACCACAGCATCAGACAGTTGTTGAATTCAAAACTTACTATGTAATCAATTTGTTATTGTATAAAGAAATACCGACAATGTAATCAATTTGTTATGGTATAAAGATGAAAGTATTGGCAAGACATAAATGCTACAGGATACAAAAGGAAAACAAACAAAAAAGCAACAAAGTAACAAAGTAACAAAACAAATTAGTTGGCATCTGAATTAACACCGTGATTATCAAACAATCCCACAGAGTTATAAGGTGATACTGATAGATCTATCATGATTCTGCATTCAAAAACCCCCCACAACCAACTCCAATGTCAAAAAATAAGAGTCGGCTAAAGAAAAAATCCCAGAAAAAGCTATTACTCAATGCATTCAAAGCCCTCTACCACCTAGTCCAATGTCAAACAAAGAAGATTCGGCTAAAGAGGAAATCCCAGAAAAGCTGTTATTCAATTAACTTTTTTGTTGGGAAGAAGACAAACTAAAAGCAGCCAATTTTGGGTTGCATTTGAAAAGCAAAACAAGTTGAGAAGTAGCAGAAGAGTAGCTCCAAACGTCCAACCATACAAACAGTAGATAAAAATGGAGGAACATCCAATGAGAGCTAACAAGTAACCAGAACAACCACCCGTAGATAGCACGAATCAATTAGCTAAGATAGTAATTATATTATGCAAATCCATCACCAGAAATTTAAAGACAGATCAAACCCGCATCATATTATCAGTTATTAAAAGTTAAAATAAAAAGCATGCCTTTGAAAAACCAGCACAAAGAAAATCTTAATCCCAAGAACCTGTACAGCGGAAGAAAACTAAAGACGCACCCCAAAGAGCAGAACACCATGAGAACCAAACTGAGCTTAGTGGAAGCATTGATGACACAAAACGCATAACCGAAATCACAATAATTAATCGAACCTTTTTTTTTTTTTTTTTTTTTTTTTTTTTTTTGGGACTGAAAACCCAGTCCTTTACATGATCGAACCCAGTTCTGATCATGTAAAAGACTAAAATCCATATCGCATTATGTGCCGAAAAGGGATTAAATAGATTCAGAAACGCGTAGAGAAGCTGCAAAAGCATACCTTTATTTTCTGCTAAGCCTGCTCAACCAGAAAGCAAGGAAGCGGAAACGGATGATGGGGTGTGAATGAATGAGGCTGCTCGAGGAGAAAGAGAAAAGGAGAGAGAGAAGAAGAAGAGAGTAAAGGCCACTCCTTTTTGCTATGTTTTTTGTGTGAGATTTCGCTTCACAGATCGTGCAAGCAACTGTTTCTTCTAGTTTGCATTGCTTTCTGGTACGGGGGGGTTTTCTCGGCGCTTTGCGCGTTTGTTATAGAATCCAAGAAAAATATAAAAGAGGGAAAGAAGGAGGAAGTGTGAGAATTTTGTTTGGGTCCCACTCAAACTGCCCTTTTTCGTCGAAACAAATTCCAAAACTCAATCCCAAACTGAAGATTTATTTGTGGAGCTGTTCTTACTTTTTCTAATGGTGCTTATGACTTTTGGATTTCTTGCAAAAAGAGAAATTAGTTTTGGGATTTTTATAGCCTAAATCATAGGGAGATTAGGCATGTTTGGTATAAAAAATACATAACTTGTTTTGGATTCTTAATACCATCCTTTTTCAACATTAAAAAGTTTGAAGATATCTTGCCTTATATATATATTTTACATCTCTTTCATGCTTTGTTTGAATAAATGTTTGCTTTCAAAATTAACTTACCATAAACAAAGGTAACTTAAGTTACTTACCCAAAGAAATCACATTAACGGGCGACATTTTTGTTTTTTTATTATTTATTATTTATTTTTTTTATACAAGCGATATTGAGAGATGAGGGAATCAAACCTAAACGATATTGAAATAATGAGGGAGAGTTTATGTCTAGAGAACCATTCCAACTCTTAACCTTAATGTTCTAGTATAAAATTCTTAATTTTTAATATATAAAAATGTATATAGATGTCACACCAGTGTATTTCTCATTTGTGTATTTCTTAATTTTCCTGGTCGTTTCGTTAACAAAACCTAATCATGTTGTTTCGATACAAGCGAAATACCTAATTACGTTTTGCTTATGTGGTGAGGACATTTCAACACTATTGATCATGTTGGATTAATGATGTAATTAACACCATTTGAAAAGTACACAAGACGGTTTATTTCCAAATTATTTCAGGAAATTTATAAAGAAAGTGAAGTTGAAAATCATTAGAAAGATTTATGTTTGTCATATTCATTCCTTTAATGAGATTAATTATACATAAACTCATCATGAGAAAGCGTAATGAAATAATTATTGCATATCGAAATTGCTTTCATGATTGATAAACACAGATTTTATTATGAAAATGCAACCAACTCCTTTAATTTCAGGCTGGGGTGGTACATTTGTGGTTGGCCAAATTCCTATCAACTAATTAAGCTCCCATTCAAAATGCATTGCCACACACATCTATTTTTTTTTTTTTTTTTTTTTTTTTTTTTGTTTTTTATTTATAGAAAATTTTGGGGTCTCCTTCTTAAAGAATATATATATAAGTTGAGGTCCTCATTTTCATTTTTTTTTTCTAAAGCCAATTTCAAGGAGAAGACTAAATCAATAATTAGAATATTTCAAAGTTATATATTTCTTTTTGTTTTATCAAGTTAGGTGCGATTAAATCAAAGTTCTGGAATATTCCTACATGTACTCATACTTTTTCTATATTTATAAATATAAATAATTATTTTTTTATTTGTTATAGTCATAAAGACTTATCATGGGGTCAGGGGCCACCTTGTTTTAAGAAATAAATATTGCAAAATATTGTTTCTGCGATATAATATCAGTGTTTATTTATATAAAAAAAAGTGATATAACACGAATATAATTATAATATCAATATTTATATTGTCTTAAAAATTATCAATTTTTATATTAAGAGAGATTATATTGTGTAGTAAACAAAGGATCTATGGATTACTATTTTTCCGACTTAACCTTTAAACAACTAATAAAACGGCGGTTAAATGCTTCTATTTTAGAGCATCTGCTTCAAAACAAAACAAAAGGGGTCGGTGCTTTTATTTATTTATATTTGACTATTTAATTGCTAACAAATGGGTGTGACCAACTTTTTAATCACACCTAGTTTAGATCGTGTCAGACAGTGATGTTTTCAATTTCATCATCCCGTAACCAGGTGTGCGTACATGATTGTTATCGAGGGTGACAATTTTAAAATACAACAGCTGCCTAAGTAATTTTGATTAGTCGATCATTAACAATTTCATTACCATTAATTTATTATAGTATAAATCTAGCTGCACTTGTTGAGTCCATAAAAAATTATAGTGCCAAAGAATGATTGTTTAGAAGTGCATGTTGAAGGAGTCCTTACAAGATCCTTTTTATTGACGATTCACAATCATCCACGCGTGCTAAACGAGAACGAATTTTTTTCAATATCCATCTTTAGGTTCCCCGCCATAGAGAAATGTGCATCTTAAAGTTTCATGTAGAGCATCACACAAACTTGGAGGGAGGGCGGCCAAGTTGATGTTTAGCTTCCTTTTGGGGTGAAAGTTATGCCCCTTAAATCATTTTAGTACAACATCATCATGGAGGAAGAAAAGCAAAGAAGGTGGGTGGGTTGCATCAGTTCATGGAGGCATGCCCCAAAGCTTTGAAAAAGTTGTGGCCAAAGATAAAGCATAAAAAGAGCAAAGGGACAATAAAGAATTAGGAAAGGCCACCTTGGATTCTCTCCCTCCCTCTCTCTCTCTCTCTATCTATCTATCTATCTATCTTCAGACTTCTTTACCAGTTGAGATCTAGACGTGCTTGCTCCTACAGTGCAATTATAAAAAAAAATATAAAAAGCCATCTCTTTACTGATTGCTGGGCCAGCAAAAGACATAAGAACTTTTCTTCTTTTCATCTCATATAATATTAAATATTTTATGTGAAACCTACTTTGACAGCTGATAATCAAGCTCCAAAAACTTAAATGTAGTTGGTAGCAGAACTTAGTTGGGGAGTTGACCTTCCAACGAAAAGCTAGATTTTTTATGCTCAAGAATTAATTAGTATCTTTCAGTCGCATCAATTGATCCTTACGTCATCCATTGCAGGACAAAATTTCCACCTTCTCTTGAAACAATTGGTTGTATATCCTAACTTTCCTTGAAGCTTTTGCCTACTTGAATCCCATGACAACTGACAAGATAACCAAGTCATGTATGGCCACCTACCAGTCATCTATCTCTAATAGGTAGTAGTCAGTGAGCAACGAGAATGAATTTCGTATCTAATTATTCCCAAATTTCAGTAATGCCCTAATGAAATCCAAATTAACTGCAAATTTGTGCAGGGCGGATGAGGGACATGCCTTCTCCAGGCTCTTTCCATGGGACATATCTTTGATGGTGTTGTAAGTAAATGTAACCTGAAGCAAAGTTTTGGTTTGTTCTGGTTTTTGACATGTTTTCTTAATGACCTGGTGTAGGGCTCCCGGCAACCACCTTTATTGTTTATTCTTTGCTCAGTTTCTACAACCATTGAATAACAAGAGGACCAGGCTTGAAGAGAATAATTTAATTTTCCAACAAAACACCATAATATGATACTTTCTATTGCACCTTTACTTCTGTACTATTATATCATGCATCTTCTACTACAGGTGATCAAGTACAATTTTAAGATGTTAAATAACAAAACCATGGTGAGTCTCAGAACCAATTTACCTTTTTTGTTTGGCCAAAGAACCTTTGTAGCCTAAGTATAGAGGAGTATGTAAATTGAACAGGTGAAACCTCGACTGGCACATTTGCATGCTATGTTATGTCATCGTTTCCGGCCTGAGACAGTCTTCTTCACAGCTCCCACTGAGACCAAAAACTTATCAAGCGATGATAAAGTCTTCATGTCGTCGGGAGGGAAGTAGCTGGCGGCCTTTCCCATAAGTGATGTGAAGAGAAGAGAGAGTGAAGGCCGAGTGACATAGCGTTCATCCAAAAGGTCATCCAGAAATGCAAATGCAGCTAACAAATCAGACCTGCTTGCATTGATTGGTGCAGCAAAATGAGCGGGGATTATTCTCTTGAACCTCCACTCCCGTGCAATTCCATCAACCCAATCCCTGACCTGAATTATTAAAATGCGAAGTCATTTTTTTGGGACACAAATAGCCATAATACTGAATTTCATGTACTTACTATAGTTTCTTGTCATATTTTCTTGGTGAATGCACATCACCCATAGTATACAAGCGCAGAGTGTTGATTTGATTATTTCACACAAAAACAACACACATACACACACGGACAAAGAAATCAAGATATCATTTAACCACACCTTTGTGCCTTCATCAGGCATGCTATATTTGGTGATTTCACTAATTAGTTTGCATACCAGAAGACGAGCCAAATTGAATATAAGATGTACAAGATCCAGCAAAGAAATTTGTATCAGAATGGTTCAACTACCTTTTCAGGGACTTTGCTGAAGACCAGAGTCTTTACAATTGGTGAAACAATCAGCTTTTGTGACATCTGAGCAAAGCTAGCATTAGGTTCCAACAGATTCGATGGACCGAGAAACAGAATTTGAAGAACCATTCTTTCCCATCCTACACCAAAAATTCGTTTTTATTCAATATTTTTTTCTTTTCAAAAACATACATGATAACCCTCATATTGGATTATCATTTTAGTAACATTCACTCAAGAATAGAATTTTGAATTGGAAAGGGGAGTGAAGATTCAACCTTTTTGACGGTTCACCTTGTTGTCAACTACTGGTTCTTGAGGTACTTCTTTTCCTTTACTAAGAAGTTTTACAGCCAAACCATTCTTTGCAGATGCTAACAAGGATTCTTTGCTAATACAATCAGGTGGCTGTCTTGGCACAAAAATTACCGCATCCGTTACCAGTAGAGTTCTGGAAGGCTTATGATAGAAAGCTACCTCCACATATGGCCCAATACCTGAAAATTCACAAGAAAATGAGTTTGCCCAATAATTCTATAAAAACAAAGTCTCAGATAGCACTGTTGCAATTTGTATTACCAACTTCTGGTGAACTTAGAACCTTCTGCTTAATCTCATAAGCCCATGGGGTGGACAAATCATCATCTTTTAAGGTTTTAGCACGAAAGATCCCAAAAAACTCCAGTGGCAGATTCAAAGGCCAACTCCATTGCCTTGGTGCCACCCATACCTGAGCTCGAGGGAACTCTCTAGAAAATGGACCAACAAAAATTTTGTGCTCATAAGCAAATGTAGGCAGAACTATGTATTCTACGGGAGCTCCCAACTCTTTCAGAAGCTGCCAAGAGACACGAACGCTCATAAGAAAAGTATAGTTGGTTAGCAAAAACACCGGATATGCAGAATTACGCAGAGTTGTGAACAAAAAACTATGGGAGACAATTCTGCAAGCAAGATATAACCTGAATACACTCCTTGGTTGGAGCAATGGGGGCATGAACCCACAGTCCTCCAGATTTAAGTTTGATGACTGTCATTCTAATGTTTGTTGACACACTGCTGAAGCCTAATGCTTGCTCTTGTTCAAATAACCATATGCAGCCCTTCACAGCCTAAAACAAATGCGGAAAAGAGAGGAAAAGTTATTGTAAACGCTACAATAATACAACTACTCTGATCATCCAGAACAAATATCTGCTCTGCACTCAAAGATCATACCTTTGTACACTCAATGAAATACCAACCAAGCACTTAAGGTTACACTTTTAAGTCAATAAAGCAACCCATCAATTACAGCAATTTGCACATCAAGTATGAAAAGCTATAAGGCCATCCTTGAGCAATCAACTGTGAAAGTTTCTCTCTTCATTGATTAAAATCTGATAAGCTGTAATAAACCTGGCTTCTACTAAAGAGTGACAAAAAAGACATGAAAATTGAGAACACCAGAGGACCAGGAATCAAATGTGAGCATAAAGAAAGAAATTTGTCATGCCATAAGCCAAAATTACCAAATTTTAAGCAAGTCTCAGCTGAAAACAAGTACAGATATATTCATTGGAATAAAAGTTCAGACCAAAAAGCATTACAATGATCACTAAGGTAAGAGAGTCAAGAAGAAGGTAAAGAAAAAAATGAGCTGACCTCAGTCCTAGTGGTGCTCCTATTGAGAAACGGACCCAGAGGAAAAGGAAACCCGGTGAAGTTGATGTAAAAGCGGCCACCACCTCTGCTTCTACTGGTGTTTGCTGAGTTGGTGGAGTTTGTTGAAGCAACCACCAAATTGATGGCATTTTCTTTGTTCTTGTTTCTGGGTTTCAATTGTAAACAAAGACCCTTCAAGGACCCACCAAAAGGACTCCAACTTGGTTCTCTGAGAGAGATTGGGTTCTGCAAAATGGCGGATTTTGGTGAAGCAACGGCAATGGCTGCCATTATTTCTTCCAAACTCTCTTAATACTTCGTCACAAACAACCAAATCACTCAGAGAGGTGTGGTACATAACACAATCATAGGTTGCAATGCCAGGTTATGCTTTTGACACGTGGATGATCTAGTCGGATTGCCTGACATGGATTTTCTGTATATTTTAGATTAATTGTGGATGGTGGGGAAAGAAAAAGACGCTTTTGGCCAACCTTTTCTTGTCACCTCAAATTAAGTCAAACAACCAATGGTAGTTTTCTTTTGGCTCCAGATTACTTATTTGAGAGCGAATATAAAAAGCCTTTAAGATCAAAGAGTGAAATTCATACAAAATTTAACAAGGTCGAAATCCATACATACAAATTTGATTTGCATTTTTTATTTTGGTCGAAATGGAGGCAGGAAGGATTATATACCTATAAACCTTGCCTTGGCTAATTTAGATAGCAATTATTGAAACAGAAAAAGCATGGGAAGAATGAGTTCTCTGTCATCCATTGCCTTGGGTTATTCACATTGCAGAATTGCAGATTATATCGAAGAAGAGAGAGACTCATCCTCTCAGTGTCAGAAATATGTACAACCAATATTCCTCTTTAATGAAATAACCATAATAAACAATTTCGTTCAAAATCCACCACCATCATACCTAGAACTACGCAGCACAAAAGTAATAGAACTATAAAAACATATTATTAAACATAAGTCTTCATACAAACACCCTGTATGTCCTAAGTATTCTGTATTCTAGCAAGAGAGCATTGCATATGCATGAAGCAATCCTCTGCTGGAAGATGCGATACTTGCATTGCATCTGATCTTCCAAAATTTGAGAAAATAACATGCCCAAGTGAACGTCTACAAGAGCTGAAATGATTCTGACAATATCAGAGAAGGGTTGTGCTGAGATCAAGCAGCTTTGGTAGAAAAATAACATTGCATCATGGAAACTGGTATGTCGTCGAATTGCATACTAGAAATACGGATTGGAGGCACCATCATGTAGAAGCAAACTTATATTCACAGTGCTTGTAAACAAAGCAAGCCAATAGCACCTCAAGTGATGATTTCCCTGACAAGCCAATCCAAACTTGGATATGCGAAGTACAGAAGAAGAAACGATGGGAGAGCAAACACAACCGTGATAAGTATGTACAAAGCCAATATAGCTGCACAGGCAGGTATTACATACAAGATGATCAGAAGAAATATCACAACCAGTGGAAACTTTGCTGTCAAATGAACGAAGAAAAACAGCGACTTCCGAAGGGAAGAATGCAATCGCTCCACACTAAGGTAATTATTGACAAGGGCATGATTCTGACCCGATGGCTCGATATGGCGAATATGGTGTACCCTCCGGTGGTGAGTGTGGCTCACTTGACTTCCCACGGATGCATTTCCATTTGCCGGCCAGACAGGGTGATTATCACCAGAGAAGGTAGAATGAGACTTAACCCTATCACCATTCATGCTCTCAACCATCCAAAGAAGAAAGTAGTTCTTGCGAGGGAATTTGAGATTTCCCCTGTAAACCAGCCGGAAGGACAAGAGATTGCACCATGGGCATGAGATAAAAAGAGGAAGCTGAATTGGTAAAGTGGGGAATTTCACAACAGCCCATTGCAGTCCCAGAATGCAATTTTTACAGAGGGTATGGCCACACCATAAAACGTAGGGCACATTTTCGACAATGTTGAAGGACTCCCAGCATATGGGGCACTCTAGTCCTTCCTCTCTCCCAACAACAGAAGAACCCTCATCATCAGAACATTCAGAAGCAGCTTGTGTTGGCCTTAGAGAATCGTTTTTCAATCCAACACTTCCAGCTATGCAGCTGGATGCAAAATTCCACATATTGACCACAACCAACCGTCTCACTAACACATCACCACTAGAAAAGGTTATTGCAGCAGTATCTCAAAGCAAGTGTGATGAAGATTGACTGGGGCATTGAAGGTGTCTTATAGCCAATAATGTCAGCCAACATCACGCATTTCTAAAACTCAGAACTGAAGAAGAAGAAGAATACACAGTAAATTTGGCAGAAAACTAAATTTTTTCCACTGCACTTGGAATTAAACTGATCTCGTTTTCTATTTTGAGATCATTGACGCATCTACCAATTACACCTATTGATTTCAAGTTCGCTGAATATGCACCAGGCAAGCCACACACGCAAATGCAAAATGATTCAGCCAAAGAAATACAAAATTACTGCACCTCAAAACAGTGATTTAAAACCCCGAGACCCAATTAGACAATCAAACAATCAATCATTCATATAAACTTCGAAAAAAGATCCAAACTTTACAATAAAAAAACCAAACCCATCTCTGAAATTTTGAGCCGCAGGTCTGTAAAACTAACCCAAAGATCTAAAACAAAAGTGAAAGAATCAAACGAATAAAACAGAAGTAGATGAAGATCTTACTGATGGTAGGGAGCGCTTTGGAAGCAAGTTTTCAAGTGAGAGAGATGGGGAGAGTTGAGAGAACCCTCAATCTCTCTCTGGCTCTTTCTCGGAGCTGTGAAGTGTGAAGAGAAATGAAAATTGAGTTTTTGTGATACTTTCGATACTTTCTCCTTTTCGAGTTCCGGAACTCAATGTGTAACCGATGGAGCGGAGTGGGTCACCATTCCAAGTCTGTATGTATGCGTATGGTCCAAGTGGCTGTGATTAAGCTAGATGACAACGACGTCGCGTCGACGTCGGTCTTCTGGAGTCTGGACCATTAAATTTTTTCTAAACGCTGCGTTTTGGTTACTCTTCAGTTGGGCTCAAGATAGCCTAGCCCATCTTTTAGATTTAGCCCAAAACCTGGCAATTTTGGTGGATATACTACTCTTTATATTGTATTTATATAATTTGGATTACATTACCCATACACAAAACTGGGTATGTTGCCTATTACTAAATGGTTGCAATTTTGCAATAACTCTATTTACTGGTCCATCCGATCCGAGGTCTTGTTTCGATTCCTCCCTCCCTAATATCGCTTCTATCAGTTGGTATTTTTATCATCAGAAAAGAAAGTACTATTGAGTTCTATAGTAGCCCATGGGTTATAGAACTTAGAGATTGATGTACTTGGGCCAGCTTTGGAGACTCACTTTCAGGCTTCTAATTTGTACCCCATTTTAATCAATCAGGCATGTGTGCGGAAAGGCTATAATGAGTAGTTTATAGTGAATCGCTAATTTGATGGGGGTTCAATCCCACTATTAACAAATGTGAGGAAATGAATTGACTTAACATTTTAAATGGTTTGATGGTGTGATTGAACCTTTCAAATAAGCTCCTCACTCTAAACTTCTCATTATAAAAGCTCCCGGCCTGTGTGAGGTCTTGATGTCCTTGTGATCGCATTCCAATCAAACCGTAAACTCCCATTAAGGCACTTATATACCTATACTTCCTTGAATTACAGCTATACAACTAAGGACACTTTTGTGATAATGATTAATTGACAAGTTCGGTTTATAGATAATTAATGTAGGTAAAAGTTTTCAGTTGAAGGCCCAACATAACATTTTCTGTCGAAGTAAGTACATATGGACACATAAAAATAAGATTTGCTTGTCGATGGCCCGAATTGATGGTTCACGAGAGTCCACTTGATCTTTCCCTTAATTGCATTATTGTGTCCTTGCATGCCTCGTATAATTACACATGCTAGCTGTAGGTTAAAATATCAGATCGCATTTTGTAGGTTATTTTAATTTGGTACTCATATCATATGGCATGAAAATATGCCTTATCTTAACTGAAAATTCGGTATCCTTCCTTCTTCATCAACAAGATAAGGCCAATATATGGAGTGGGTCACTTCGTTTTTGTTATCATCTTGCAATTTGGCTTTGTACTTCGGATGGTTGAGATTCGACCACGTCCACACATAACTTGCCACACTTGCTAACAGAAATACGAGCCCTACCCTAGTTAACAGAAATATGATTCAATTAGATATTTGAAAGTAACATATTAGGTACCAAGTGCTGGGTACTTGTTAGGTTTTGTGATCAAATAAATAAATCAATGTCTCGATTGCTATATACAGGGACATTCTCCAATAAGTCATTAAGTTTACGTACTTCTAATTTCAATTGTTGGATTGCATGTAAGAGACTACTAACACATTTAATGGATGCAATTCAACGGTCAAAATTAGAAGTGTGTAACTAATCCTTAACATAAAATACTTATTGAAGAATCTATCTCTATTATGTGTATGTTTGATAGGTGGGTGGTCCTACCGCATTAATATTGTGGAATTTATATTAGATTGGGATTTATTATAATAATGGAAAATTATATCTTGCGGTAATTTAGAGGTCCCACGCGACGCAAGTAACCCTAGCTCGGATGTCCTTTTCTAGTAGTTGAGCATTAATTGATCAGTATGGATGCCTAAATGTTTTGCCTTCACCTGCAAAACTCCAAAAATGAGTGGGACCCAGATACAATGCAAAGAATGTTGTTGTGTTGCTAATAAATAAGCCTTTTGGTCTGTGAATTAATCATTGAGGATGAGACCCATATCCTTGTGTGTCTTGTGAAGTTCTTATTATAATAATTTTTTCTTTCATGCAAACTATGAGTGGTTTCTCTTTGCAGATAAATTATATTCAGATTATGTGTATCATTTTGTAATTCTAATGAGTTAGTTTTACATATGTGTCATACTGTGATTGGTTGTAAGGAAGAATGACTTCTTACTTGTAAAGAGCCGAGCCGTGTCACTTATAGTCGTGCCGCCTCATCAGAGGGATGCTGTAATTTTCTTTCTTGGGTAATAAGGTGTAGTAATTTTGATAGGGCAGGGTAAATAATTTTAAGACCAGTTGATGATTATTTGATGATGATGGTTTTGGAAAAGAAAGGCCAGTGGGCACTGGGGGACTTTGAAAGCCAGGTCTGAGATTTTGTATATGCAAAGGATCTTGATGCTGGTCCCGGGCTTTGTTCCCAATTGCTTCGATGCAGATGCTGATTCTTCTTGTTCAGCCCGATCATGATCATGGTCTTAGACTCTTAGATTGATGACAGCCGTTGATTCACAAAAAGTTATGCGTCAAGTGGCACAAACTGGTTGCAAGACCATGAATTTGTGGCCCTCCTCGATGCATTTATGAGCACGTGGAACTCTGAACTGTTTATGCGCATGACATGAGAGACATTGAAGAAGAATAATGCAATACATATGTTAACTCTACCCGTAATAGCTTTCAACGATTTTTCTTCACCTCCCCAACGTAAGTCTCCAATTTATTATTTTGCTTGCTATTTGGTAGGCACAAGGAGAATTAAACCTAGATGGAGTATTATTCTCTCTCAAGAGGTACCCTAAGCTAAGGCTCCTGCGGCTTGCTGAATCATTGTATATATAGTGTAAGAATATTTTATAAATATTTTGTGTGGCCCACATGAAGTGACCTATGTGGTAAATAAATTGTTTAATTGGTTTAATAAATATTATTCAGAATAATTATATTGGTCAAATAAAGAGAAGTAGTTTTCTATTATTACCGTGATGGGTGGTAATTGATTATGGGCTTCACTAGGAAACGGGTCCTCTCTCTGCATATAATAGTGCACATACCCATCTTATGTGTATGCTAATGAAGACACGTATTAGGGTTTTTCTAAACGTGCAAAAGGCTAGAGAGAGAAATCTATTTCCTCCACACTGACGGCTTGCCTACGGATCGCTCAAGGCAAATATCTTGATATGGAAGAAGACTAATCATTCAAGGTATGTATGTAATTTAAGTCTAATTGAATTTCCGCCTAATGTTATTGTGAAAATCTTGAAGTTCAAGATTTTGGGTCATGGATTGGGTTCTTATGGTTTTACCCAATATTAAGTTTACATATAGTTCCATTTTATTTATATGTACAGGAAGGGAGATCGAATTCGGGTAAAGGGAGCAGACACACTGCATTAACCAACTGACCTAACCCGTCACATATATATGTTTTAAGATGTAAATTTCTATAGTAAGGGCTCGTTTGGGACTGCTTCTCTAAGAAGTACTTCTGCTTATAAGCACTTCTAACAAAAGCACTTCTATTATAAAAATATTGAATTTTCATAACAAATTAAAGTGTTTCGTGAAAAAGCACTTGGGAGTGCTTCCTGAAGAAGCACATGACAGGTGCTTCTCCAGGAAGCGCTTCTATGACCCAGAAGAGCTTCTAAAGTTTTCTGCCAAACGCTGTAAGAAATACTTTTAGTTATCAGAAAGCGTTTTTGGCCCTTACAAAAGCACTCTCAAATAGGCCCTAAATCGTTGAATTACGTTTCAGCTACTTGTTTTACTGGCCACACCGTGCACCACGTTTTGCCTTGAATAACGTGATCGATCCATGAGGAACAAAAGTTAATTTGTACTGCTGGTTCTTTTGCCTCCAAATCCATCCTAGCTTTTTTTTTTTAATGTTACATCAGAATTAATAATAATTACCTAAAAAGGGGAGGTCCTACTCTTCACATGTGAGATTCCCATCAGATGATAAAAATATTAGGCACCTGTATTCCCTACATATCTACACATGTAATAATTCTTCAAGCTTTGACAAGTAGAGGAAAATAAATGGAGTTTGTTTATTATTAAGTTAATGACATAAATATTATGTTTCTTGAAAAAATAATGAAGTCGAACTAAGATAAAGACTAATCATGATGAGAGAATCTTGGAATATAATATTGCTCTAATTTTGGAAAAAATTTATTAATTATTTGACGACTACAAGTATAGAAAATGTTGGTTGTGAAGTACACTAGTAAAAGGGATAAGTACTCATGCCGATCCCATGACGAACAGGAGCATTGGACCCTACTTCATTTTCCTTG